TTGGTCAGAGCCATCGACATACGAATGCTTACTGTTTCTCACCAATATCACCAGCATTGATGGCATCACACAACACACAGTCCAGATGAGCTCCAGCAGATGCAGCCCCAAAACACATTGTATACTGCCAATCCATATGAGCAGACGCATGAAAGATACTGACACTGTATTATTATTATTATTATTATTATTATTATTATTATTATTATTATTATTATTATTATTATTATTATTATTATTATTATTATTATTATTATTATTATTATTATTATTATTATTATTATTATTATTATTATTATTATTATTATTATTATTATTATTATTATTATTATTATTATTATTATTATTATTATTATTATTATTATTATTATTATTATTATTATTATTATTATTATTATTATTATTATTGTTATTATTAGGTACTGCCATCAACTCTGAAGCTGATAATGTTCATCATGCACATTGATGACTCTCTTTGAAACACATGACAGGACCAATATTGATTGCTAGTTTCTGCAGTAGCTTGCAGCTTTATCATGGTGCTCCCTCCAACTTCCCATGTAAAACAGACTTCACTGTGCATGAGGTCAGATTTCTGTTGCCAGTGCTCACTGCATAGTCAAAGGGCCTCAGTTAGGCCCTCACTGATGGTCCAGTCCAATGAAGTATCACTCAGAAGTACTGTTAAGACTGTTCTGTATTAGAGATACAGCTTCGAGTGATAATGGTGAGGAGAGAGGAAAGGACATGGAAAAAGGTAAACTAGGCCTGCAAACAAGTAGGGCCTAGCAATGGAAGCAAAGACAATAGACAAGTAAGGGGGACCTTTACACTGTTGCTATAGTTCAACAGTATGGTGTGTTGGTTTCTCCATGGAAAATGTGAGGTTACCAGTTCAAATCCCATAGGTGTCAGTTTTTATTGACATTTGTGAAACTTTGGGAACACCTTGACTTGTGCATCAGTGGAGTTGTAGGAGAACACAAAGGTAACCAAGTGCAAAGTACTGATGGGGAGACTGCCAGAACATAGAAAAACCAGGGGGGGGTTGCTGAAATTTACAAGGTATTGGTGGGGGGAAGGCTTTTCATATAGTTGAAGCAATTGTTGCAGGCTTTCTGAGCATGTTAGCATTACTTTGCAATGGCTGCATGTTCTTGATACCATTGGGTGAGTGCCCTGGTGTCTTGTAGTTTGCTTGACAGTTCCCAGGTATCATCTGCTTCAGTGTATCCTGTCCAGCAAATAAGAAAGTATTGCCTGTTATGTAGGATTTTCTCATCCAGGATCCATTCTACTTGGTATTCCTCATGGTCATTTACAAGGACTGGACCTGGACAAGGAGGACTGTGGTTTGGGAATAGGGCAGGATCATTGATGGTATAGGGTCAGAGCAGAGAGACATAGAGACTGGGTGGACATTGGAGTTTGGCATACTGAGCTTGTAGGTAGACATGCTTGGGTATGCCTTGATAATTGTCCAGGGACCATCGTAGTGTGGCATGAGTTTAGCAGAGCACTTCTTGCCTTGGACCTTGTACTGAGCTTGTTGGTTCTTGGTATTCAGCATTACTTGATCCCCAACTTGGTATGATGGCTCAGGATCTCAGTGTTGGTTGGCATGATAGGCTTGCCACATCTTTGCAACAAGGAGTCTGTCTCTTACTTCTGCCAAGTCTCCCTGCATGCACTTGATAAATTCCGCAGCTGCAGGGGCTGTGAGTTCTTGCAGCTCAGTGCTCTGGATAGGTGGGAGGAGATGGGGTTGGAATCCCAGCATGAGTTCAAAAGGTGTCTTTCCTGTTGAGGCATTGGAGGTGTCATTAATAGCCAACTCAATGCGGGGTAGTGCCTTGTGCCATCCCTTCTGGTGCTGGTCAACATGGTATTGGAGGAGCTGGTTCCCTGTCTTGTTTGTGTGTTCACTTGCACCATCTGTCTGTGGATGGTAGGCTGTTAACATCTTGATATTGGTCCCAAGAGCCTTGTTCAGTGACTGCCAGAACTTAGAAACAAAGAGCTTGTCTCAATCACAGATAACTTCTTCTGGTATACCCATGCCTTAGCAAACCCATTGATCAAAGAAGACCTGGGCAATCTCTTCAGCAGTATGGGTTCCATGAATGGGAATGATGCAAACACATGAAGTGAGTTGGCAGGTGATTGTGAAGACAGTGTCATAGCCTCCTGACTGGACAAAGGGGCCAATAAAATCCATAGCAATATGGGAGAAGGGCTGTTGCAGAATGCTGAGGGTATGGAGTGGTCCAGCAGGCCTGGTGGTAGCACTCTTATAATGCTGACAAGCATTGCAAGACTTGCAGTACTTGTGCACAGTTTGTTGCATGTGGGGCCAGAAAAAATGGTTCTGGAGCACTTCCAGTACCTTCTCTTCTCCAAAGTGTCCAAGTGCATCATGGGCATCATCATGGATCACTTTGCATTGTAACTCAGGTACATTAGGAATGCAGAGCCTGTCATCCACATAGAGCAAGTGTCCATGCTTGGAGGTATTGGAGATGCTTGAGCAGTTGTGCTTGAGTTTGGAGAAGAACTCATCATTCTTGTATCCCCTTCTGACTGCTTCAGTGAAGGATGACAGAAGCATCAGTTGGGTGGTGGATACATTGGCAGTGAGGATCTTGACCTGGATCTCTGGCATCACTTGGTAGGGATATCAGGAAAGGATCAGCAATGGTGTTGATCTTCCCAGAGATGTACTTCAGATCAAAGTGGTATTCAGCAAGGAACTCCATCCATCAGGATTGTTGAGCAGACATCTCCTTTTTGTGTGGAATAAGTTTGTGCAGATACTGGGTCAGACCCAAGAAAGCTCAGACATCCTTGACCTTGTCTGGTGTTGGCCATTGTTGGATCTTGTTGATCTTACCAGGGTCAGCTGCAATGCCTTCCCTGGAGATAACATGTCCACAAAACTCCAGCCTTGTTGTAAAGAGCTCCGTCTTCTTAGGTGAACAGTAAAGGTCAGCATCACAGAGAGCTTGAAGCACCTGTGCTACATGATCCTGATGCTCTTCAAGGGAGCTTGACCAGATGATAATATCATCCATATAGATGTGACAAAACTTGCCAATGAGATGGCTAAGGGCCTTGATCATGCAGTGTTGGTGGATGCTTGGGGCATTGCAAAAACCCATGGGCATCACCAGCCATTCATACATCCCCATAGGGGTTGTGAATGCAGTATGCACAATGTCATCTGGATGGACTTGTGTTTGGAAGAATGAGTTGGTCATATCAATCTTGCCCCAGAAGGTCACATTGCTGGCCAGCTCCAGGATGTCATCAATCTTAGGCAGGGTGAACCTGTCTTTGACAGTGTTTGCATTAAGAGCATGGTAGTCAATGACAAGCCAAGGCAGAACTGTCGGGTCCTTCTTGGGAATGACAAAGGCAGGAGAGGCACTGTCTGCTTTGGACAAGCAGATGCACCCAGCATTGAGGTGTTGCTGGATGAGGATCTGGGAAGCAGATAGGTAGTGCCAGGGACAAGAGTAGATCTTGGGTCAGATCCTTAGTGGGATCAATGAGCTGGATGTGAGCAGTATCCAGGTCTTCACATGGCAAGGTTGGAGGGACTGGTCCCAGGTCCAGGATATCCTCTGGGAAGCAGTCTATATTTTGTTGTACTGTTTCTATTGATAGCCTGTGGAGAACCTCCACTTCTTGAAGTCCTTCTGCTCTTTGAATCCTTGCACAAGTCACTGTGAAAGGTGTCAGAGATGATGTGCCAGATAGTAACTCATAGCCAATGCTGTTGACAAGCATGGCAGGAGGGGAGAACTGAAGAGTGACATTGTTCAGGAATGGAGTCCCTAGTATCAAGTGGTGGCCATCCAGAGGGGCCACTTTGAAGTGTAGTTTGTGAGTATGGAAATGACATTTGGGGTGATGTGAGTTCAACATATTCTCTCAGCTTCTGCTGCTTCCCAGTCTCATCTCTCAGTGCCTGCTCCACCAGTTGTGAGTGAGAAAGACAGTGCCAGGGCAAACTGAGTTCAGTTGCCAGATGATTGGAGATGAGAAGAGCAGAGCAACCAGAGTCAATGAGAGCTTCTTGTGTGTCGTGAGAGATCCAGAAAGGCACTGTAATAGTAGCCACATCAGAGTTGACATACACTTCATCATTGGCAGAGGCATACTCTTCAGAGGTATTGGAGTCCTCTGAGTTGGAGCTGCTAGAGGAGATAGTGGCAGGTGCAGGCTTCTTGGAGGTACACCTGGTCTTCTTGGCCTTTGTGGGTGGCAAAGTTGCAGCTGGGATGTGTGCCCCTGGTCTTGATCTGGCGGCACTTGTTGCACCCATTGAAGGTGGCAAGGTACTTGCGTTCCAAGTCTGTGAGCTTGGCCACATATACAGTGGTAGAGGGAGATTGTTAGGGCAACACAGGCTGACTAAGTCTGCTCGCCTAAGAGTGCCAAGAGTCTAAGCAGGCAACAGGGAAGTAGAGTAGACCTGATGACTAAGACCTATCTACAGTATAGGTACCTGTGGATGATCCTAAGAGACAGTCCCCAGGCAGAGTAGGCCTTATATTTATACCTCTGTGGTGGAACCTGCTAGAACATCTTGCTTACTCAGCCTAGTCAGGTGATCAGGTCATATGACCAAGGATGAGGTCATATGAGGTCATGCCCAGCCATGCACAGCAGGTCACCTGACCATCCAATCCTTCCAACAGGTTCCAGCACATGCCAAGGTATACCAGCTACTTCCATGTCATAAAGGCTTAGTCATGTCTCTTGACCAAGCAATGAGCTGGTGCCCTGACAGAGATGCCTCTCCATGTGCAAGAGTGGATGCACAATGGTAGGTAGCAGCAGGAGTGGTAGACTGAGCACACTTTTGCTCTCTCTTATAGTGGTGTGAGGTGGCAGCCTTAATGCACTTGTTATGCAGGTCTAGGACTTCTTCCAGCTTTGCTAGCCCCAAGCTGAGCTCTTTCAAGCTACTGGTAGAGCACAAGGTTGGGTCCAGGCAGAGTCTAGCATAAAGATCCTCTTTGACTCCAGAGCAGATGATTGTGCAGAGCTGATCTTCTGGGAGTCTGGAGGCATTATCAAGGCAGTTATTGTCAGAACAGAGAGTGCAAGTGTAGGTGCAAAGATCATCAAGGACATTGTCCATATAGTCAATGGGAGTGACATAGGCAATAAGTACCTTTGACCAGTCTGCAAACAACAGGGTTTGGTAGTGGGCCTTGTCCAAGCAGTACCATGCCACCAACTCTGCATCTTTAATCCTAGCCAGTGCCTTCAGGACACCCTTCTCTGGCACAACTTTCTTTGCCTCTAACCACAGCTCCACAAGCCTAACCCACTCCTTAACATCTTCAGGCTCCCTGCTATCCAGCAAGGGTAGACTTTCCGCTCCCATAGACAAAGAGTTGCTTGAAGAGATGGAAGATGATCGGACACAGAGGCTTGCAAGCTCCAGGAGAAGTGTGGGTTGGTTGAAGAGGTTGATAGGGTCAGGGGAGCTTTCTTCTGTGAGTGGAGAAAGATGTTTTGGGGTGGATGTTCCATTTGGGGTGAGGATGAGCTTCGGAACTCTTGAGGGTGCCAGAGTGGTAATGACAAAGTGGAGATAACAGTAAAAAAGTGAAAGGGCCTCAGTATAGGCCCTCACTGATGGTCCAGTCCAATGAAGTATCACTCAGAAGTACTGTTAAGACCATTCTATATTAGAGAAAATGTCTAGATACAGTTTCTAGTGATGATGGTGAGGAGAGAGGAAAGGACATTGGAAAAGGTAAACTAGGCCCACAAATAAGTAGGGCCTAGCAACAGGAGCAAACAGAATAGACAAGTAAGGGGGACCCTTACACATAGCCTACTTCATGTTGCCAGCTATGACAAAATGCTAAGTCCCCTGACTGGAGGGAGGATAAGTAGCATCTTCAGCCACTCCTGCATTGGCATGCCATCCTCAATAACTTCAAGGGCAAATCTTGTAAGAGCTCTTTGACATGATATGGTAGTAGTTTGATTACATCACAAATGCTCTGCCTCTGAGTATGACTTTGTAAGCTTTTGTTTTTGACTAATAGTAAGCATCAGAAACATGCTTTTGTCATTTGGGTGGAACCAGCTACATGAGAAGAGCTCATGCAAGTACTGCAAATAACAATCATCTGTAAGGACACATCCCGCTTTTTTAGACCATAATGTACGATTCCTTTGAGCCTGACACAAGCCACTACCATCATAATGCACAATGCACAAAGTTGGAGCACCTTTAGAACAAGTATTATAGATTCTAAATGGTGACAGGTACCCCTGGAGTATTCTCCCTTGAGTGACAACTCATATGCCTGTAGAAAGAGAGGGCCATAAAGAGACCTGGGTGATGACCATATGAACTCACAGAATAAAATTTTTGATAGATCAGATACCCCAATGTTCATGGGTACATTATATGCAAGTTTGTATTTTTATTATGGAGTGACAGGAACATTTTCAACTCTGCCAGGGTTTGGCATCAACTCAGCTTCTTGATTTCCATGAACAGGCTTCTTTTGAAGAATGAGTGTGTGGACAACTAGATTGATATTAAAAGTATTTATCTCCCATGCTCTCCAGGTCTGGCAGCCCTGCAGATTACTGGGTATTGAGAATTGTGTCTTACATTGATTTGTTGAAAGGGCCTCAGTATAGGCCCTCACTAATGGTCCAGTCCAATGAATCATCACTCAGAAGTATGGTCAAGACCATTCTGTATTAGAGAGAAATGGTGAGGAGAGAGGAAAGGGTGTGGCAAAGGGTAGGCTAGGCCTGCACACAAGTAGGGCCTAGCAGCAGAAGCAAACAGATGAAGATGTGCAATGAAGACAAGGGAGTCAACCCTTGGAAGAGATACAAGACAGAATAGATGAGTAATGGGGACCCTTACATTTGTCTATAATGGTTGCTTGAGTAGTGATATTTGTAAACATGATGTGAGGAAAGAGTTGAGAAGTCAAAAGATGTGTTTTATCAAATTGTTTCAACACTTCTGTTATTCTATAATTGTTCTTTTTCTGGAATATTGTTACATTCTTTCATCTTCCTCCATATTCCACCACTTTTTCCCATATAGTGCGGGAGGGGCTGGGGATGCCACTTCCCCTTCCTCCCTTCGGTCGGGGGAATCGGAATCTGTGTTCCAGGACATCCCATCTCCAGAATCATCCTCTGTAATAGACTTCTCAGGATCAACAGGAGGGGTATGCTGCATTGACCAGCAGATGGAGGCTGGTTGGCAACACAGTTACCGGAGATGCAATATGTCAACAGGCCTCCCTCAACTAAATAAGCACTTGCACACGGGTAGGCTTGATAATTAGATGACTATATTACAATACATGAAGAGAACATGGCGCTACTTATGTTGTCTCTGCATTTGAACCGGATGTGACAACAAACGTGTTATTGTGTGGCTCCCATAGCCTCTGCCAGCAATGCCTATAGCGGAGGGTGAAAACAGGCCGGAGTGCTGGATGCTTGATCTTCGGGATCTCAGCCGCCTCTAGATCTGAAGAAAGGTATGAAAAACATGAATCACGCAACGGAGAGATTTGGTGCGAACCCAAGAAGTCTTCGGCGTCCTCGACGAACTCACTGGATTCCAGAGGATCGGGCACTTGCAAATCCCGATGTCCCGTTTCCCATGTGAGATAAACGGTAATAACTTGCAGGACTAATATAAGAAGGTCGAGCAGTAGGAAGTGAAAGCGAGATGCGCGAGAAGCTATTGCTCGTGGTCAGCAGTACCCCAACACTCCGGCCAGCACGCTCACAGTGGCCGACGAAATCGAGAATAAAGGTCTTGCTCAGCTTTCCCCATGAATGCCTCAAGAGAGCATGGCCAAAATTGAAGATCAACAGACCAACAAAAAACCGAAGACTACGGCCGGGGTGCCATTCCCTCAAATTCACGCAGTGTAGGTGAAAGAAGGAACGGCTGATGAACAGTAATAACGACATGTCGGAAAGATCTAAAGCCATCACAATCATCAACGGAAGAGAAAATACAAAATGCTCACATTGATACAAGAAAAGTGTTTGGATGACGGACTCGCTCTATTCATATATAAGAGGTTTGCTCAAGTAACTGGCGGAGCGAGATGGACGGACTGATTGAACGACATGCTGATGTACGTCTGTCAGAGCTTGACGCTCTAGAAATCCGCCAAATGAAACTTACAAGACGATGAGCACGCATGGCATACTGGAAGACCTGGAAAACGTAAAAAGTCTACACGCAGTGAGCAGCAATGTGCGACAAAAGAGTGCGGCCATCGTCAGGCCACGTGACTCGTGACTGAAAAGATAGTGTATGCCTTGCCATTAACACGGGCTCTGTGCACAACGCTTGCGAGTGCCTGACTCTCCTCATTATGCGGCAACCTTTTTTCCCTCGTCCATTCCGTATCACCCAATATGAAGGCTCTGTTGATACTACCGACACCCCTCGAAAACGTCGCCGTATCACAAAAGGCTCTGGATCCGATTCGTATGTGCCCACAGGTGACGATCTGTCTATGCATCGTATGGAGGCGACCCTTCGGCTGCAGACTTGCTGGTGGTCCTTGGCGGATAAGTACTCTACACCGTTGGACAAGGACGATGAGGTCGACTTGTTTACGGGTCAAGTCGTACGTGATCGAGGATTTATCCGAGGCATGGAAAGAGTATATGAGCTCGGAGATCTCTTAGAAGGGAGTTGTTTGGGTGACGATGAATATGCTGAGGGTAGTGAGGGTGGTTATTCCGTGGGAGGGGATGGCGGTTCATACAATATTCGACGTTCGTACTCGTCCGCCGTCGATAGTCAAGATGATACTTCGGAGGATGAGGTCGCGCTGTCGGAGGACTTATCCGAAGACGAGCTCGGATCTTGGGGCGAATACTCCGGTTTGGACTATCAATATCGTGTCGTCCCTCCACTATCAGCACAGATGGATTCTGAAGACGAACGAGACTTGCGGGAGTTCGAGGAGGCAGAAAAGGCGCTACGGGAAAAGTTTGGACACGACTATCTGGAGGACCACCTCAGTGGAGAGGAGCTTCTCGATACCGCTTCAGATGATCTCAGCGATAGACGGCTGAGCGACGACGAAATGACATCGTATTCCGTCTGGTCGGAGGACGAATTTTCGACATTTGAATTGGGGGAAGGCAGCGCTGTTCGGATAATTGACGATTCTGATGATTCGGACGAGCTCAACTCATTTCTGGACTGAAGATGAGGAATATTTGTAGGGGCAGTCATCGGCACTGCCGCGAATTTATTTGTAGGTTGTTGACTGAGGGCCCGTGATCTGGGCAAGCCGTCCAATCCAGTAGATGTTCACGAATTTTACAGGGGCGATTTACAATTATTATTACACCATATGATCGGAAGAGCCTGGACAGGAGATTCTAGCAGCGCATTCCTAATCAGAAAAGCTGCACGATTAGTACACATTGACGGACGTAGGATCTGAAATGCTAGGTAGGGCCGAAGAGTACGTGAATGGAAGTCATCGGACTGTTAGTTCAAATCCTGCTCCACAGACATCATTTGTCCCTAGCATTGTTGTTCGCCGTTGGATCGACCGCAGATATATTTTCACTTCCACTGGGGATTGTTGATATGACTACCGCTGGTTGTTGTGAAATGGTTGCGGGCGGCGGTATGGTAGATGTTCCCAGAGGGGTTGTGGGTTGATAGTATTGATAGCATGCGTAATAACCAGCCAGAGGGTTCTGGGAAACACTGTTGGGTAGACGAGAGGCAGTCGTGTTGGCAGGTGCAGCCACAGGGTCGGCAGTTGCAGGTTCAGCATTCGGCATCATGGTGGTGGTGGTGGTGGTGGTGGTTGCCTGCAGACTGACTCCACTCGTCTTGAGCAAGTTGAGCACTGCAGCCAAGCCACTGAGCTGGGTGGGATCGAGAAGACTCAGGTTGATAGTGATGTCTAGCAGTTGATCATTTTCTCGAGAGCCAACGAGAATGCCTGCGGGTGGGCTGTCCGTCATAGACGCTGTTTCTGTGATAGGAACCAAACGTATTCCAAGGGATTCGAATGCTGGAACTACTGAGAGAGGTATTTGCAAAGGAATGGGGTGCGTTGGAACCGAGCGAGTGACCGACGCGGGAAAGGTAGCAGGTGTCGCTGCAGAAGTGGTCGCTGCAGCAAGCAGGGGCCTTGGTTGAATTGTCTCCACAGAAGAAAATACGGCCTTCGCCGCAGTGGGTGTTCCTGACATAGATGTAACGGGGGGTGACTGAGAACCTACAGAAGCCGTGGCTAAGGGGGCTGAAGAAGCAGGCGGCGGAGTGGCGGCAGCGTAGAGATAGGCAGGTGTCGCAGCAGGATGTGGTGTAGAAGTGGTTCCAGTACGGTGCTGGGCAGCTTGTGCCTGTGCCCATGCTGCCCATGCTTGAGCATACTGCATGTACGCAGTGCGGTAATCCGCAGAATGAACCAGCTGTTGGGTATTCCCGCTGTTCGTCACCGTCGTGCCAGCAGCGGCGGTGTAAGCCGCATACGGATTCGGCGGCGGGTTACTTGCAGGTAATTGTGCTGATGTGGAGACCTGAGCCGAAATCTGAGCCGAATATGCCTGGTAAGCTTTCCTTGTTTCTGCCTGTTCCTTTTCCTTCTCTCGTGCATCTTTCTCCATCTGTGCCAGTTGATCTCGCGTGTTGCGGATTTCTGCGTTGAGTAGAGCATTGTATCGGCGGTCATCCTCTGCGAGAAGATACTGAATCTGATACAGTTGTTCCGGGTGGGATTCACGCTAGAAAACAGTTCACTAGGGTCACATTAAAATGAATGGCAGTTTCCCAACCTTCGCATCTTTCGTCCTCATGCTATGAAATCGCTGTTGTAGCGACCTTCGCCGCTTCAACTGTCCAATCAAAGTCTTGAAATCTACTCGGAAGATAAGATACTAGAATCTGTAGCGCGGGTGTAGACTCACTGTCGATATTCTGCTGTGGAAACTTTCTCGCGGTAACCTCTATTTCTTTCCCCCTTTTGTTCCGTTTCCTTGTTGGCAACAGGTCGTCATCTGGCTGTTGAAATATGTGGTAGGGGAGCAGTCGTTGGACAACATCAGCAGAATCCCGAAAGGGTGTCTTGTAGTCTGGGTATGTCACTATGAGTTGATCGGCCAGAATGGACTGGGCTACCCTATGAGACCGTCAGTAAAGAAGTTCCATCTGTATTAGGCCACTGGCTCACCTGTGAGCCGCCTCTCGCATCAGGAGAGCATCTTCTTCTCGTGCTATTCGCTTCCTTCTTGTTGCTTCATCCTCTGGTAGTTCGTGGGCTTTTCGTTTTGTGGTGGTGGTCTCGGAGGCAGTGGTCACAGCTGCATTTCCTAGCGTCGCTGTGGACGTCGACGGGCCTAGCTGAGATGCATAGTAGGCAGCATAAGCTGCAGGCGAGTAGACTTGCTGACGACTGCACGAGGTCGCAGGCGATGTTGGTGGAATTGACGGTGCTTGATGCTGCTCTGCCTGAACCGGTTTGAGCGCCATGAATAATATTGGTCTTGTACAACACGCGCACGCGTGATTCAGGGCTGGTCCCGTCACGGAATCAATCCTCCCCGCGCTGATTCCTACGCTTTTTATGTTGCTTGAGCGAGGTTTGTTATGCACGCGTATGCATATGCAGGGAGAAAGGGGGGCAAAACGACCGGCGCTGGTCGAGCAGGAGAACATCGTTGATGTGTGAAAGTGTAGTGCTTGGCACTGTTCGGCAACAATGTTGTTAATAACACGTGCTGACTCTCTACATTTGGAAAGAACTTGAAAACAAAAATAATGACTTATATCGACGGCCAGGTACTGTAAGTCCTGAGACCTCATCATTTAGGTGGTAGTTTGATCGATCTGGGGTTCAACATGTCGAACCGTTTGTATCCGACAACGGGTTAGCGATGAACAGCTGTTCGGTTAACAGAAAACCCATTTGAATATGCTGTTGGTTGCGGCAGAGACGGGCACAACTATTGAGGTGACGAAAGACACGTGAAGGGCATATCCAAGTCCAAAACAATGGTCGTGGTATTGTACATATGCAGCTATCCAATTGCATCGATAAATCCAACACTCAGTAGGGACCCATGTTCATATCGTTTCGCTCCAACGACGAGTATGGATAATCGTAGAGAATTCTTATGGATCGTCAAGAACCACTAGTACGCTCTCTTCAGCTGCCGCGGCAGGTTGCTCCGCAGATCCCAAAATACATAGCTCGGGGGACACATCATTATCCTCTCCTTTAGCCTGATCAATAACTTCGACTCCGTGGTTCTCCAATCTCCGTCTCTTCTGTGCAGTGCCAGTGGCCTCAGAAGCCATGTGGGGGAGTGTATCAGACATGCTCCCCTTTCCTCGTTCCTTGCGTTTTAGTCTCTTCGCACGATTCTTCGCCGTCTTTGATTCTGCTTCGGCCTCACGTTCTGCACGACGTTGCTCAAATTCTCTTATGGCCGTTTCCTTCCAAAAAGTCAGGTGCCTTGTGCGAAGGAGATCATGATGTCAGTTGCTCACCTTTTCGCTCTGCTCCTCCATCATTTTAATCCTTTCGTACTCCCGTCTGCGGTTCTGTTTGTAGACATGAAACTCGCCGCTCCCTGCACCCGCACTTGACCCTTGCACATTCTTCATCATTTCTCGGGGGGCACGAATGATTTTTTGTGCTGGTGGCTCTGGGAGAACGACTGGTTTGGATGGATCTTTGAGCAGCTTATCGAGCTGCGCTCTCTGAGTTTCATATGCGGTGGGTGCATGTCGATTGGCTGGCGCAGCTGGTGTTGGGTTGTCCATAGTGTGGATGTAACATGAAGTGCGTGCCGCAGATGTCGTTCTGAGTCCGTGGCTGCCTTTCACATTCTGTGGCAGTGCTGCGAGTGGGTCGAGTCAACCCTCTGGGTGTGTTGCAATTCGGGCCCTTACTACATGCGCATTCAACCTCTGCGCATTTCCACTGCACGTCACTTATATTTTCATCTCAAATCTGCACCGTCTTTCCGATTTGTGGACCGCACGAGAGCAATGTCGACCTTGACACCGTTCGGCGGACCGTATGGCCATTGGCCGGCTGACAAAGTCCGACAGACTTTCATAGACTACTTCAAGGCACGAGGGCATACTTTCTGGCCGTCATCCTCTACTATTCCGTACGAAGATCCCACTCTTCTGTTCGCCAATGCCGGAATGAATCAGGTAGGAGTATTTTGCGAATTGAGTGTGTATGTTTTGTTGTAATATATATACCCCATGCAGTACAAGGCTATTTTCCTTGGCACAGTTGATCCGCAGTCCGAACTCGCAAAACTGAAGAGGGCGGTCAACAGCCAGAAGTGTATTCGGGCCGGAGGAAAACACAACGGTACATGACATGGAATACACTTTGTTTTACGCATACTCAAGAAACGCTCCTATAGATCTGGAGGACGTTGGTAAGGACACATATCATCACACCTTCTTTGAGATGCTGGGCAACTGGTCTTTTGGAGATTATTTCAAGGTGTTTATACTCCACATACATTTCACACACGCTCACGATTTTTGTCTCGATAGAAAGAGGCCATTCAATGGTCTTGGGAGCTGTTAACTGAGGTCTACAAACTGCCCAAAGACCGTCTGTACGTGACGTACTTCGAGGGCGATTCAAAGCAGGGCCTAGACGCCGATTTGGAGGCCAGACAGTACTGGCTGGATGTTGGCGTTCCAGAGGACCATATCCTAACCGGAGACGCGAAGGACAACTTCTGGGGTGCGTGACGCGACACTCCAGGTCAGCTCGTTCGTCTTGCTGATCTCATTATAGAGATGGGTGCCACAGGTCCATGTGGTCCTTGCAGGTATGCACTCTGAATCCCGATCATCTCTTCAACCTATCTAATGTACATAACACTAGTGAAATTCATTTTGACCGCCTCGGTGGTCGAAATGCAGCCCATCTCGTAAATCAAGACGACCCAAACGTAATCGAAATCTGGAACAATGTATTCATCCAATTCAACAGAGAAGAGGATGGCTCTCTGAGAGAACTTCCCGCTAAACACGTGGATACTGGGATGGGTTTCGAGCGTTTGGTATCTTGCCTGCAGGACCTCCCATCCAACTACGATACTGATGTGTTTGTGCCCATATTCGCCAAAATCCAGGAGTTGACCGGAGCACGGCGTTATGCGGGCAAGCTTGGGGCAGAGGATGTCGATGGTATCGACACCGCTTACCGGGTGGTTGCAGATCATGTGAGGACACTCACGTTCGCGTTGTCTGACGGTGGGGTTCCCAACAACGTCGGACGTGGATATGTGCTTCGTCGTATTCTGCGCCGAGGTGCGCGATATGTCCGCAAGAAGTTCGGTGTACCCATCGGTAGCTTTTTCTCTTCGCTTGCTCCTACGGTCATTCAACAGATGGTGCGAGTCACTGTGTTGCTGCATCCCCGTCATATCTTTGCTGATCTTTTATTGCAAGGGCCACTTCTTCCCTGAGATCACCAGGAAGTTGTCTGATATCAAGGAAATCCTAGATGAAGAAGAAGAATCTTTTTCACGCACGCTTGATCGCGGTGAGAAACTTTTTGAGGAATATGTGACTGCTACAAAGAAGAAGGGATCTTCTTCGCTTCATGGGCACGATGTATGGAGACTATATGATACCTACGGATTCCCCGTGGATTTGACCCGATTGATGGCGGAGGAGTTGCATCTCACGATTAACGAGCACGAGTTTGAGGAAGCACGACTACGCTCGCTCGAAGCTAGCAAGGCCTCTCAAAAGAAGGGAAATGAAGATGCGGTGAAGCTGGACGTTCACGATCTAGCTGCTCTCGAGAGCAATCCAAAAGTCCCAAAGACGGATGACCGTCCCAAATTCGGTATGTCGTTACTGTCCAATCAGTTGCAAGTATTCTGAGCCAGACCGAGGGTTGGGGAACATCTCTGCCACCATTCAGGCAATATATTTTAATAAGTCCTTCCTCGAGTCTACCACCGCAATCCCAGAGGATGCAGCATTTGGTATTCTTCTTGACCGCACAAGCTTTTATGCGGAGTCCGGTGGACAAGAAAACGACACTGGAAGCATCATTATTGATGGCAAAACAGAATTCATGGTTCAGAATGTGCAAGTTTATAATGGCTATGTACTGCACAGCGGAGCGTTGAAGTACGGCCAATTTTCCGTTGGAGATGAAGTCATCAGCTCATATGATGAGGTGAGCTCCGTGGCGAATGTCAGCACGCGCTTGCTCATTGATGGTATTGGTAGCTTCGAAGGTGGCCTTTGCGTAATAACCACACCGGTACCCATATCTTAAACTTTGCCCTGCGTGAGATTTTGGGCGACCACATTGACCAGAAGGGATCCCTAGTCGCTCCAACAAAGCTCCGCTTTGATTTCAGTCACAAAGCCCAAGTGACTCTTGAAGAGATGGAGAAGATTGAGGAGATTTGTAACGGCTGGATCAAGAGGGATGTCAAGGTCTTTAGCCAAGAAGTCGATCTACATACAGCCCAAGAGTTTGCGGGTGTCCGTGCTGTCTTTGGCGAAGCCTACCCTGATCCAGTCCGCGTGGTCTCCTTGGGTTACGAAGTGCAGGACATAATCCAGGATCCACAGAATCCGAAGTGGCGAGGCACCAGCATCGAGTTCTGCGGCGGGACGTATGTGAGACAACTGCACTTGTCAGATTGCTTGCTGAAAGAGGATGGTAGCCATGTCGCCAAAACTGGCGACATCAAGGCCCTTGTCCTCACCGAGGAGTCAGGCATTGCGAAAGGCATTCGCCGTATCATTGCTGTGACGGGGGAGGAGGCCAACGAGGTTAATCGACTCGCAGACTCATTTGAGACACGCTTGATCCAGATCGAACGGTCTGCCGGCAAGGAGAAGGATGCTGCATTAAAGGCTTACACCTTTGTAAGCAGGTATGTTGTGTATGGTACTAGTAGTTGACTGCACGTATTTCTAGGAGCTTGGCCAGGCAGACATTTCTGCGCTTCGTAAGGCAGCCCTCAGGGAAAAGTTCGCCGGGATACGCAAAACATTTGATGATGCAAATAAAGCTCACCTAGCCTCCCTCACAAAAGAGGTATGCGTATTGTGAAGGTCATTACGATCTCCATGCTGATCCTGTGTCTGTAGCTTACCAAAACCATTGACAAGCATTTCCAGGAGAAACCCAATGAGTCCGTCTATCTGGCAAATATCGACTCTTTGGAGGGTAACACGAAGGTATCATCGCAAGTCCTGAATATGCTCGTACCTGATTGAGTTCCTGCAGATTATGCAGAGCATTGTCCAGCACGCCCGTACTCTGAACAAAGCTGTATATATTTTCAGCGTAGATGTTTCGGCTGGCAAGGTTGCACATGTCAATTTTCTCCCCAAGCATGCCATCACACAGTCATTCTCAGCGAAGACGTGGGCGAACGCCGTATCTGTTATCCTTGGCGGCAAGGTACGTTGCTTTCTATTCCCCTGTGTCGGGCGTTGCTGATATAACCCTGCGACCAGGCTGGTGGGAAGGATGACGTTGCGCAAGGTGTTGGTGTTAACGTCGAAAAGGTTGACGAAGCACTTCAGTTGGCTCGGAACTTGTACCACAGAACGTCTTAGACAGGCACCATCTTGATGCACACATGTCCATAGGAGACTTGTTACTTAATGATGTGATGAAAGAACCATTTGCAGTCAGTTCCATCTTACATTGGCAGGCAGGTCCACAAAACCGAGGAAAGTATCCCCAGAATTGGAGGCATACACCCCAGTATGAAATGTCTCATGATTGGCATTCGCATAAGAGGTAGCAGGAACTACGCCCAACAAGCCAGCCTGTTGCCACTCGGTGGACAACCTCCCACATGTCTAACCGCGCTTCTTGGACACACCAACCGTCTTGCCACGACGACCTGTCAGAAAGTTCAGCATCCACGTGACCCAAGTGAGCGATGCTCGAACGCACCGGTTGTCTTGGTGTGCTGACCCCTCACACGAACACCCCAGAAATGACGAAGACCTCTGTGAGCGCGGATTTTCTTCAGCCGTTCAAGGTCGTCACGCAGCTTAGAATCGACACCGTTGGACAGGATTTGCAAGTTCTTGCCATCAGTAATGTCTTTTTGTCTGTTCAAAAACCACGTTGGAATCTTGAACTGGGTGGGGTTTTGCATAATGGTGACGATGCGCTCGAGCTCATCAGAGTTAAGTTCGCCTGCCCTACACAATACATGTCAGCGTTTGAGGACTCTTTCATACTGTCTGCTTCTCACCGTTTCTTCAAGTCAACATCTGCCTTCTTGCAGACCACGTTGGCGTACCGCCTCCCGACACCCTTGATCTCCGTCAACGCATACTGAACTTTCCGTTTGCCATCAACATTCGTGTTGAGCAGACGAAGGATGTGCTAGATACATTTAATAAAAGTAGGTTGGCTTGATAGCATTGAAAGAAACAGACCTGGAATGTCTGATGTGGCTCGGGGACGACGAGGGACATTTTGTTGGAGATAAGTAACGGTCGAGGTCAGGGAACTCAGAAGAAGGGATCGTGGAGAATATGAGGTGGCTGTGCTCGTGTATGGACCGTGCACCACATCAACTTCAGGGCTGGCTCCTTTACAACGGCTTCATTTCCGTCTCGTTGTTACTCTGCTTTTTCAGATGTCCACTACTATGGTTAGTTGGTCGACGGGCTGGTCTGGCACGGCTCGCTTATCCCCTCGGCATTTCAGTCTCCTTAGTTTCGTACCTTGTTCGTGAAGTCCTATGGGAGTGAAAGACCAGACTACTTGGGCGAACAATTCATTCTGTCATCCAGGAAATAATTACGCGCGTAAACCAACACACACATTCACCCAACCATCTGCACCGGCCAATGACGCCCCAAGCCAGCCTACTTCCGTTTCCAACGGTGGTTCCATTCCTTGAACGACTGCATATGCGCCTGATATGCTGGTGTTCTGTATGTTCGCGCCTTTGGAAAATAATAGGGGGAAAGACGCTGAGAGGAGGTCCCCTAGGGTCGTGTGCACCCCTGAAAGGTATCAGATGTGGCAAAATTACCAGGAGCCAATGGGAGTACCATTTTGCGTCACAGGGGAACATAAGTCCTGTATGACTGGAGCGTTTGGAAGGAATAATCGCAGTGGAATAGAGCGAACTGCGTATGCGTCGTTGGTGGTTGTGGCAGCACCTGTGCCATCTGGATTTGGAGTCGGAGGGGACGAGTTGAGTAACGGTGAAGGCGGGTTTGGGTTCGGCAATATTTTCGAGCCTATTTTCCAAAAGTTATCGTAATTGTCTATTGCATAGATCAATTCCCCTCTCAAATCTCAACCGTAGTTGAATAACGAGACGTACGCTCTCGGATTGCATCCCAGAGGCCGTCTTGCTCAGTCTTGCGTAGTCCGGTCATGCGTCTGGTGCTTCCCCAACGAAGGAAATCAGCTTCCTTACATTGTGACATGAAGGAAGACTTCAGTGATTCCACAGATGGCGTCAAGAGCAATTTATCTGCAGGAGGGTTCGACAGATACAAAGTAATAGGCATGGGCGGGGACAGGCTCGAGGCTGAAGGCAGGAAGCACGATTCTGAAGCAGACATGGTAGTAAAGTGTGCGTCGTATAATAACCCGATCGGCCAATGCCTGTGCTCTGAATGAGATCGATAAAGAATGACCGTGCCTTGGTACATACCACTTTAGTACGTTGTCTTTCTCAGTTTCAAACCACCAATCCTCTTCCCTTAAAGCCGCGGCTGTTGCCTCATCGAGAACAAGGTCACACAAATTTTGGCGAATTTCTGGAATCAAAAGAGGAAGGTATGATATCCTCGGTGCTTGGATCTAATGACGCAGGGGTGAGCTGCTTCACTGGTAACATCTCATGGGTACGAACGAAATATGTGTCAAGCATACGGTCAGACGAGGATGGCAGTGAACTCGGGGCGAGTTTGATGGCGAGAGGTACTGTACCATCCCACACCATTTGGCGGAAAAGAGAGGACATACTGTAAGTCAGGTCGAATGGTGCGCTCCGTGGACAAGATTATCCATGACGCTGTGTTGTGTTAGGCGCGCATGTTTTGTTCCCGCCTCTGGCCAACACAAAACTCCAACACAAACTCGTGCAACTCATCCATCAACACACACTTCTCACCGCTCACTTCACACATATATCCGTCTTCCACCCACTATCCTTAATGTGAGAGATGATACACGCGCAGCATCTCTCTTCGTATCAGTCTCGCCTTTCGTCACCTTTGAAACGAAAACGGGACATTGCTGACGATGTTGACAACCCGCATCGAGGAGGCCTGCTACCCGTGGACGAACGACCTCCGCCTTCAAAGCGAGCTCATTCGCTTGAAGATGGCTTCTCCCTTATGTCTCTCATCTCTCCGCCTACTCGTACTTCCCTAGCGCCTTCCGCATCCCTGCCGGAACCCGTCGAATTCCGATCCCCGTTTCAAAACGTGTTTGCTCAATGTGATTCTCCACCTCCAGTACCGAATAGTGCGACGATTGAGATGGATGAAGACTCTTTTGATGGTCGTCCATCTGCAAACAGAACGGCGGAAGAGGTCGAAAACGGCGACATTGCTATGAAGCGCAGTACCTGGTACGAAAAAGATAAAGACAGTACGCCTCATCATTCTGTTGTTATTCGCCACTTGAGTAATGCCGTGAGCAGGAATCGTGATTCTGGATCTTGACTCCGACGATGAGGAAAGCCCACGGTCCAGCCCTCCCCCCGAGTATATAATTTCAGGCGCCTTATTATCGCTCTTGCCGGTACCGGTTGGTGATACTCCATCACCACCTGGTAAGGGACAGTTGGTCCTATACCGTCCTCCGCCGTGGAGAGACTCGGAAGAACTTGAGAATCGTAGTCGGAATGTTGACGAGCAGGACGTTACACCTGCACAAGACGCATTGGTTACTCATAGTACGGACGCAATGGACATCGAGGACTAAATCTCAGACCATTTACCCATCATCACTCATACCTGTAGGTGTGCGCATAATGTTGAGCCGCATACGTGTATCACAAAGTAGTGTTCTACCCTACCCTACAACAAGTAGTCCGAACAAATACAAAGCGAATCTGTACCAGCGCTATCGACGTCCCTCCGAGAACAAGTTTACCAAATCAGCACATACAACATAACAATAGATCGATCACTCCACTGCCAACTGGACCTCAGTGTTTTCTGCTCCCTCTGTTGTCTCAAATTCTTCGGCATTTTCACCCTCCTCAACCTTCTGTCTCTCCATGGCTTGCACTTCTTCTGCGGTAAGGAAGCGCCCTCCGGGACCTCTTGGGCGGCGCATTGCGTGTCGATGACGTGACTCGTGCAAATATGGCTAAAACAGTAAGAATTATGTTCCTTGCCGATGGAGATTCAACCAAGTACCTTGCGCTCCTTTGAAAGACGATGAAGTTCCTCCAAGCGGGCTCGCGCAACACGTCTCTTCAGAATGCGGTGATACTGCTTCGCGTTGACGTACAGAGGCTCCTCGTCCATCGCAACGGCATTCTCACCTGAAGCTGATGTCTCGCCGGGTGCCTCGGGAACTGGTGAAGGCGACGGAACAGGATCAACACGAGATGGTGGGCCCAGATCTGAAGACTGTGGGATGAACGACGTTGTCGGTGAATGATACGACACAGCTGATCTTGGCATCGCTTCCACTGAGGGAGAGTATAGGGAAGCGACCCGGGGTAGATGATCTCGACCAGAAGAGGTGTCGACCGTCATCCGTCTTCTTTTCGCGGGCGGCTCAGGTTGTCCTTCCTCCTTTGCTGGCGAATACATCCGGTCATGCATGACGTCTATCGCAGAAGGTGGGTGATGCATGATAGGCGTCTGTTGTTGAACAGGAGACGCCATAGGCTGAGTCATGTAGGGATTGTAGCCGTGATAATAATTGTTCATAGCGGGGTGGTAGTTCATCTGCAACTGAGGTAGCTGAGAGAGAGGTGGCAGGGTCATCGCTGAGAGATAAGACGAGAGAAATGAGCTGAAGACCATGCATTGTAGTGAGTTAAGAGGACATTACCTCCTGGGATGCCGACTTGTCCATCCACCGCATTTACGATGGGGTTCAGTTGAGTGAGGTGGGGAGATTGTGCGATGGATGACATCTGGTGTTGATGTTGCTGCCTGAGCGTCGACTGCTGACCTGCTTGGAAGCCATGGACGAGCTCATTGTGCGGCTGCTGCCTGTGCACATTGTGGTTGTTGTAATGGTCGTAGTAAGGTACTTGATAGGACGTTGCCCGTGCCTTGTCCATTCCAGTAAACCGTCTGGGGACGAGTGTATGCTTGTTGCTGATTGGCCGACGTGCACCGCAGTGTCGCGGGGCCGGACGGTGAAGCTCTGATCACTATCAGCAAATCGCAGGAGGGGATGGTGCCCTCTTCCCTTTTTAGCATCCGCAGACCATCTGCTCCCATTCAAACCAAGCCACATGTTGCCCAAATGTTTGAATTAGGCCGACCGACCCATTACATATTCGCACAAGTGTCGACAGACCTGAGAATTACCATTTCTTCAATAATCAGCTATGGACGCAGATGACAATAAGCATCCCCCAAACAACCCTCCGCAGGGAGACAGTGCGCCTAGTTATATATGCAGGCAATAAAATGGTGTCTAACCCTCTCACCTCAGCTACATCCGAAGGTGGTTTTGGTGGCGACCCATTCTCAGATGTCAATCAGCGAGGTTCCGACAAGTACAGCCGTGGTCAACTTGGTCAGGGGATGGTTGAGGAGTCACAAGCCCCGTCTGCTGAATTGGATGAGCAACGAAACAGTGCGTGCCACTCGTTTGGTCCCTAAATTTTATTCAGTACAGTGCAAGTCGCGAATTCCGGTGATAGCTTGAATCCGTACGGCGAGATCCCTCAAGAGCCTTTTACTGAATGCGGAACGGAGGATCAAGGTAGGGAGACATTTGAGAATGCGAGGGGCACAGCTGCAGTGCAGGATGACCGTGGACGTCAAGAGTAAATGTATGTGTCAACTGTTTTGTTCCTATTAAAACCAACATTAACACTAAATAGGGCAGATACTGCTCAAATATGAACAGACAACCTCCTTCTTGCCCACTGAAGTCGTGCAGCTCTCGGCTTATGCCAGGCAAGGGAGGACAATGCCGGGTGGTCGAATGTGTATTGTAAGAAGCATGCAGTAAACCAATGACAAAATGACCAGTCCTATATCTGTGAATGGTATGCCCCAAACGCTGATCAATCATTGTGTGTTGTGGCATAGGAGCCATTGGTATCATCGACTGATTTCATGCTCAGCCAACAGCTGGGCGTCGATGAGAGCACTGTCCACTACGGAATATGCTTTGCTCACCATGTTCGGGATTCCTTGGAGAATAGGGTATTTATGTTCGCATTTAGGGCAGTACATGGCCCCTTCTTCAACATGGACCTAGGAAGAGTATGAAACTAGAGCTTGGGGGATAGGTAGCGTGTAACGGGACCCACCTCCAGTAGGACGTGATGTAACCTCCTCAAAAACTCTTCATCCACTGCATCGCCCTCCGGCATTTCTGCTGGGAGGGAAGTATCCCCAAGCTGACGCGTCGTATGAGTGGGGCGTCAATAGTGACAGCTTGAGTTTAATGCGAACCTCCTTAGCGGTGTCCACCAAAGCTTTCCATTCAAGTCTTGGCATCATTTTCTGCAAAAATTCCGCATTATAGTCTGCCTCCCGCACTTCGAGTTGTGTGACATCTTTGAATGTCAACGGGAAGTTGTCGGGATAGTTGCATCCCCTTGCATGGCAGCACAGAAGGTTGTGAGTGATGAGTTTGACCATTGTGAGCGTAATGTCAAAGGTGCAAAATGTAAATGAAGCGGCAGCAATTCCTTATGAGTGTGCTTGCGCCTCATTTCAGAGTCGCGTTCGGGCGTTACCCATTTGCTGCCACTGCGTTTCCCATCTCTCACTCAATCCTTCCTTGTATATTCAACAATATATCCTCTGCAGCATTTATCCACCATCTCCTCATAACACTGGTAGATCTGCTATCTTGCGTTGACCATGGACGCAACTCGCAAACGCGTATGTTCAACACACTCATCACACAAAGAGACTCACGCGACGTTCCCGCTGTAGAACGCCGCGCTTCAGAAACTAAAGGATTCTCGGGCCAAGAAAGTACAAGGCGATGGTTCTGATACTTCAACCCCTTCAGCAACAAATAGCATTTCCAAATACTTCCCCAGTACTTCTTCGGCCACTCCTCCGTCGTCCGCAACCCCAGCTGTGCTTCTCGTTCCCAAGACCAGCAGCCCGGTGTCCAGTCCTGTGAAGCCCACGTACGAGCCACATCACAAGACAACCATGCTGCCACCGACGCGATCCGCCTTTGACCGTGGTGGTTGGGGTGACAACATGCGCACAACTGGTGCAGCCCCTCGGGGGAATGATGGGAACGAACCACCCCCCAAGAAGCGCAACCTAGGCGCCAATGGATGGACAATTACCAACGGGTCCTCGGAGATAGATGATGCGCGACGCATCAATCGCCCCTCCATTTTCGCTTCTGGATCCCGGCCAGGTCAACACACGCGGATTCCTTCTTCAGATGTGGAGATGGTCGATGAGACCACGGCATCCAAGCCTGGCGCTGGCGCTCAGTTGCACCCACCAGCCGTATCGGCGCTTATTGGATCAGGAAGGACGGGGTCTGACTCGCTCTCCTCAACCCCCTCTCCTCCTACCCTTCCTCCTGGCCAAGACCCACGACTGGTCCGCCTACACACACTACATCCTGAAAAGTCGCTCTCGCAGCTGGGCAGCCTTTTGAAACATCACAACGGCGATTTGAATCTGGTTATGCATAGCCTTACGGGCCCGCCTTCACCATCACGACCTGCGGTACGTGTCACCACCACCACCACAGTCGTGCCTAAGCGCCGCAATGTTGCACAATCTCCCGAAGCGTCGCGGGGTAAGCAGTCAGCTATCTATCAGAACACTCAAGGACCTCGCCCGACAATGGCCTCTCCTGTCTCTGCTCGACTACCAGAGACGAAACCCAAGCGACGACTGCTCGACTCCGATGAAGAAGAGCAAGAGCATGCAGGTTGGTCGGGTGGCTCTGATTCAGAGGCCGGGGGTGCCGACAATATCGAAGAGAGGGAGATTGAAGCTGTTAAGTGGTTCAATAACGCTGAGACGAAGACGATCGTCGAAGTAACGGGTGAGCCCAACTGTCCTCTCTATCGGTCTGGCTGACATCGGAAGCAGCTTGTGCACCTGAGCAAGCTGATATAATCGTCTCACTTCGACCTTTCAACTCCCCTGGGGACGTTCGCAAGAAATTGGGAAAGCGAAAAGGCATCACAGCCAGGTTCTTTGAAGACTGCGTGGATATCCTTGAGGGCTATGCCAAGGTCGATACCCTCCTAACTCGGTGTGAAGCTGTTGGGAAAGAATTGCTGGAGACTGTTGGGGCCTGGGGTGATACGAGTGGTAGCGTTGTTGGCAGTACCGTCGGTTCTCGGGCAGGTAGCGTTGCCCCAGAGCCATTGCAGAGAGGACCGCCTCCCAAGGCGAAGGAAGCACTGCAAGAACAACCAAGCAATATGCAGAATCTGACTCTCAAGGATTATCAGCTTTACGGGTTGAGCTGGTTGTACCTCTTATATAGAAAGGACCTAAGCTGCATCCTCGCTGATGAAATGGGTGGGTTGCCGCTGCAGTAAAAGTGAAAGACCTATCTTGACCAGGGGCCTTTGTCGCCAATTGTGTAGGTCTCGGGAAAACAATTCAAGTCATCGCATTCTATGCTCTGCTGAAGGAAAGGGGCGTGGCAGGACGTCACCTTATCATCGTGCCGTATGTCATGTTCTATTTACTCGTATGTTTCTTTTGTTGACTAATTCCAGGTCGTCTACATTGGAGAACTGGTTGCGGGAGTTCCGTCGCTTTGCGCCAACGATTAATGTTCAATCCTATTACGGGTCTCAAACCGAAAGGCAGCTACGGAGGGCTGAGCTGAGAGCTGAAGATGCGGACTGGGACGTCCTGATCACCACATATAACCTAGCGCAAGGTGCAGAGTCAGACCGTAAATTCTTCTCGAAGAAGCTGGAGCTCAGTGTGAATCTTTTGATCTCGATCTCATTGTCTTTTCACTGACGGTAATATCATAGACATGCGTTTTCGATGAAGGGCACGTCTTGAAGAATTACCAGAGCCAGCGATACCAGAACCTGATGCAGATAAGGGTACCATGGCGTCTCATGCTTACCGGCACCCCACTTCAGAACAATCTGCAGGAATTGGTGGTAAGCTCTATGAGTGCCTCGTCAATGTCAACCTCACACTTCCGCTAGTCCCTCTTGAATTTCCTCCTGCCGAAGTACTTTGCAGAAGCACAAGAGTCTCTGCGTGCTATTTTCAAGGTTAAGGCGAACTCGTCGACGAGCTTTCTCTCAAGAGAAAGGGTATCGAGAGCAAAAACGATGATGACTCCCTTCGTTCTCCGGCGCCGAAAAGATCAAGTGTTGCGGGATCTGCCCAAGAAGACAGAGCGAATAGAATATTGCTCGTTATCGTCCACTCAGACAGAAATATATCGGGATGCTCTCAAGCGTTCTCGAAAGGCTCTTCAGGAGTTTCCGGAAGAAGAGGAGCCCGCCAACAAGAAGACCCGTTCGTCGAAAGCCTCACAGGTCAAACAAGCTGCCGATACCAGCACTAATGTTCTCATGGACCTGCGGAAGGCTGCTCTCCATCCTATGCTGTTCCGGAAACGATTCACAGACTCGAAGCTCAAGGTCATGGCAAAGGACTGTTTGAAGGAACCAGAGTTTGCTGAGAGCCGGTATGACTACGTGGTCGAGGACATGTCTGTTATGTCAGATGCAGAACTGCAAGTGTTCTGTGAAAAGTACAAGGTAAGCATTCACCACCATGATCAGTCAGCGGAGCTGATATTGTTGACAGAGCGTGCATAAACACAGGCTCAACGAAAAGTCCTGGCTGGACTCCGGTAAGGTGGACACTTTGCTGAAGCTGATTGCAGAGTACCGCTCACAAAGGAGGCGCATCCTCGTATTCTCTCAGGTATGTTGAAGACGAAATGTTGCCATGATAATCCAAATATTCATGCGGATGCTATTAGTTCGTTCAAGTTCTTGACATTCTTCAGCACGTCTTGGATAAGGAAGGTATACGTTACCTCGTCCTTACTGGATCGACAGCTGTCGACGTCAGGCAGAGCTTGGTTGACGAATTTTCGGAAGAAGAGGATATCCCAGTGTTTCTGTTGTCCACGAAGGCTGGCGGAATGGGGATTAACTTGACCGCTGCCAGCGTCGTGGTTCTATTTGATCAAGATTTCAATCCACATAATGATCGCCAGGCCGCAGATAGAGCATATCGCATTGGGCAGAAACGCGATGTTGACATAATCAAGTTTATCACCAGGGGTACCATCGAGGTAAGCCGATCTGCCATGCCATATGGAGAGAGACAACTTCATGGCCTGTTCAGGAGGATATACATCGACTTGGCCAGACAAAGCTTGCCCTTGATGTCGCCGTTGCAGGCGGAGAAGAGGTTACACCGGAAGGCGAGGAAGGCAAGATTCAAAAACTTATGAAGGCAACTCTCATCGGAGCGTTGCGAAAGAAGTTGGCGGTTGACGGTGACGAAGGTGTTATTGCGGGCACAACTCAACTTATCGAATCCGATGTCGACCTTTTGTCCAAGGAGGAAGAAGAGAAGTTAGAATGCACCACTTTTGAATTCGTAGATGCATCAAATTGATAGGTCACCAACACAACACATACAATTGTATCCATAGAAGCGTATGTTATCATTCAACAGTTTTCTCTCATCTGGGGCATACCGAGACCTGACAGCATTGTCAGTCGCCACAGATTCCGGTCTGAAATGCGCTTGTAGTGTAGCAGCGTGTGGAAAGAAATCATTCGATCGTTCTGGGACGATTCCTCAATACCACACCAAGGATTGGCCTTCACCGTTTTCACTTGCACTTGGGGTTGATATGGCCGCCGCTGGTTGTTGTGGGAAGGCTGCCGTGGCATGGCGCGTGTAATATGGATAGTGTGTGTAATAGGAGACACCGTCGGGCAAACGAGAGGTAGCCGGGTTGACAAGTGCAGTTGCTAGGTAGGCTGCTGCAGGCACAGTGTTAATATTCAGAAGGCTGGGATCGATCGTGGCCCTCAGCATCCGATCATTTCCTTGTGAGCCAACGAGAATGCCTGAGGGTGTGCTGTCCGTCTTAGACGCTGCTTCTGTAATAGGACTCAAACATATTCTAGTAGGTTGCATTGAGACTACCAACGAAGGTATATGTAAAGGAACCGGGTGGGTTGAAGCCGAGCGAGTGACCGATGCGGGATCAATGGCTGATGCTGCTCCAGACAGCAAGGGCCATGGTGTGGGAGCAGCAACGGGCGTTTCTGACATGGATGTGTCGACAGATGACTAAGAAGTTACTGCACAGAAGCTGTAGCCAAGGAGAATTAAAAGTAGTAAATCTTCATGAAAGCAACCATAACCCCCATAACCTTACAGTAAAGCACTACTAACACATACGGGGGAGGATTACCTTTTCTGAGAATTACGGACTCAGAATTGTCCCCGCGAACATTCCTGCCCATTCGTCATCACTGCCCGATACTTGCGGCGTGCGACCAGCGTGGCTCTGTTGCCTCTCATTCGCTATCCATCATCACTTGGTCTCTACGAAGCGTACTCTTAATCCCTCGTGGAGGTGATTCAGACATGCTTTCTTGCTTTACTCCTACCCGCTATCGTCAACGGGAGGGAGAAGAGGAACACGATGTTGCCTCCATCACCACAATGTCGAGTTACGCCACGGGCACCGAGAAGGTCCATGTAGTTGAGCTACAAAGGGCAGACTCGAAGAACAGCACACGAACTGTTTTAACAGAGAAAGATCCCGAGGGCACGCTGTCACGGCGTTCCACTTTGAAGAAAACCAACCCCAGCCGGCCGACAATTACTCCGCAGCATTCGACTACTTCAATTCGCTCGGCAGGGTCGATGGGCTCGACTAGTGCTAATATCACAAGCAAAGGGGCAGCACCCGTCCGTCCAACTGTTGTGTCAAGGTCATCTGCAGGCGCAGAATTAGTCGGCCTGTCCCGGTCTAACAGCGCGGCCTCCAAGATGTCTTCTGCTTCCAAGTCTTCGCACGTCTCGGCATCAACTATGCGGACCACTTCTACGGCCCAGACCATGTCAACCGCACATTCTACCTTGTCAAACATCTCAACTTCAAGCTCCCAGCTTCGTGTGGACAGTACAGAACACCTGGTTGCCCTGAGAGCACTGTTCCCTGAGGCCAAGATTGGGTACTAGTAAGCAGATCTGCGCCTGGTTGAAGAATGTAATCCTCAATCATGAGCTAGCATCGTTCCGTCGGAGGATGAACATCAATCAGAATATGTTGCAGATGCTGATAAGAGGCGCGAGTTCATATCTGGGTTATTTGCTGGTGCTCTTCACACGATGTGCCTTGCCTAACACTGGTTATGTAGGTTTTCAGGTTCTGCTGGAGTCGCCGTGATCTCTTTGACTGCCGCCTTTCTTTTCACGGATTCTCGCTACTACATTCAAGCACGTCGACAACTTGACAGCAATTGGACATTGTATAAAGTTGGCTTACCGGGGGTGAAGCGATGGGATGAGTACATTGCGGTGAGCGCGCGCCATCCACGTCAGCAATGAGGGCATTTACAAGCTTGCTGCAGGACCTCCCCTCCGGTAGCCAAGTCGGAGTTGATCCGCGCTTACTTTCACGAGGTTAGTTGGTATGTTTATTGTCTGGGTCACGAATGAATCCATCTCCATAGCCATGGCTATCTCCCTCTCATCACAATTGACAAAGAAGGGCTCAAAACTCGTCTTTCCGCGTCGTAACCTGGTGGATACTATATGGACTGACCGGCCGCCCAGAAGCAAGAACCCAGTGGTTGTCCATCCGGTTGGCTTTGCGGGCCGCAATCCCAGAGAGAAGATCAGTGATCTTCGCGCCTTCATTGCGACTCGACCCGGCTGCACTGGTTATCTAGTTTCTGCTCTAGATGAAATTGCATGGCTACTTAATCTCCGCGGAGCTGATGTGGAATACAACCCTGTGTTCCGTAGCTACGCTTTCGTGGACACGGAGCGTGCCATTATCTTTGTCGATCTGGTGAAGCTATCCGATGGCACAAAGGCGCATCTCAAAATCCACGGAATAAGTTTTGAGCCTTACGAAGCCATCTGGGCCTTCCTGCGTAAGGAGAACGGAAATCCTGGGAAAGTAGTTCTCTCGCACAAAACGGCTTATGCAATCACGGCAACCCTTTTTTCCGTACGTCGTTTTGCATGTGTAATCAATGCGAACAACTGATTTCCAAAATTTCAGACGAAAATCGACGTATTGCCGCATTCTGAGATCGAGCGTGCAAAATCGATCAAGAACGAAGTAGAGATTGCTGGCTTCCGTGAGGCATACCTACGTGACGGTGTTGCGATGGTAAGAGCGTACCGCGGCCATACAGAAGTCTAGGTCGTCTTTCTCACGTCTCCCAAGGTACGGTGGTTAGCCTGGTTGGAGGAAAGTATCGTCAAAAAGGGGAACAAGATAACGGAGTGGGAGGCTGGGGAGAAGTTGACCCAATATCGCCGGCAAAATGAAAATTTCATGGGACTGGCGTATGAGAATATCTCTGCGTATGGTGCAAATGCAGGTAAGGATACAGTATCAGACAAAGGGGACGAAACATATCTCAACATATTGCTCTGAAGCACTGCCTCACTACGCCCCACAACGGCATGCTACCTCCTTCATCGGCACAGACGCTCCATATTTGATGTACAGTACGACTGCCAGCAAACAAATCAGAAGCTGATGTTCTCTACGCAGCGACTCGGGTGGAAATTATCGCGATGGGACTTGCGACACAACACGGACTTATCACTTTGGTACGCCAACAGATGACCAAATAGAAGCATACACTCGAGTGCTACAGGGACATGTGAGCAAATACTATGAGCGGCCGCGTTTTCCCTTCATAAGTTGCATAGATTGCTATTGATACCGCCATATTTCCTGAAGGAACTACTGGTGCTCAGCTTGATACACTTGCTCGACAAGCCCTATGGAAGGATGGGTGCGTAATCTATTCCAGATCAAGAAGCACAGGGGAGCTGATATTACATGTAGACTAAATTACGGTGTATGTCCCTTTCGTTCTCTTCGCTAGTAATCTCATGTTCAGGGCGGTTTTAGCATGGCACTGGACATGGTTATGGCCAGTATCTTAACGTGACCATCCTTTCATCCTCCTGTCATCGAGTTGTATTGACCGAAAGCATAGGTCCATGAAGGTTCGCAGCCTCCTCTTAACGACGTACTTTCAGTTTACACCTCTCTTCATCAGGACCTCAGGGTTTTGGTATTGCAGAGCCATTCCGCCCAGGTCATGTGGTGACGAACGAGCCTGGTTTCTGTGAGCACTGTTGGCCAGGAAAACAGCATGGCTGCTCAACTGTCATTAGATCAAGAAGGGCACTTTGGCATCCGTTTAGAGAGCGCGTTGGTCGTCCGCCGCGTAGAGGTTCGTTTCGATAGTTGGACATTTGCGACGTGCGTTTTGATTCTTCCGCAGACCAAGGGACAATTTGGAGGCGATATCTGGCTTGGCTTCGAGCGTTTCACACAGGTTCCCATACAGACGAAACTCGTGAAGGAGGAGCTGTTGAGCAAGGAGGAACGTGCTTGGCTGAAGGCGAGCATTTTGAGCGCACTCTGCGTGCACGGCACTCATAACATAACCCTAGGACCACAACACGCGGTGCCGTGTGAGCTTGGCACCCCTCCTGGAAGACGATAAACGTGCCTTGAAGTGGTTGAAGAAAGAAACTCATCGCAACAAGGCCGGTATTGAATGGGATTAAAAGTCCTTGAGCGATCTTTGCCTCCCAAGGCATGGTACTAGTGGCTATCTTTATTCTTGGACTCTTGTATACTGTCGTTGTCCATTTCTTTTTTTGAAGGAAGAATAATACCTAGGCATGCATCTTGGGATGGTGCCTCCGCTTCTGAACACGAGATGTATACGCAGCATGTGCAGACCTGTTGTACAAGGAAGTGATGTGATGTAATCTATCGCCAATCGGTCTTTCCCGCCTTCCGCTTCCCCGAATACAAGTGTTTCGGCTGTCATAATTCTCAGTATCATCATAAGCATCTATGAAGGCCTGGAGTGCTCGTACCATTTTGACCCTAATAGCACGATCGGATTCGCCAGCTTTGGCGTGCATATTCCGCTGCCGTTGCCCGAGATTGCGTAGCCTGACAGCCTTACTTGTTTGCTATGATGATCCGCGATATCAGATATGGTATTTGATGTTGTCAATATTCCGCTCACCTCGTTGGCCATGCCAGCCAACTGTCTATGAGTTTTGGGAGCATGGTTGCCGGTCCCGACATCTCTGGCTTTCCCGGTGTTGGACTTGACCCGCTTGCGGGATATATCTTCGTCAACATCCATGGCATCTTCCTCCCAGTCAGCATCATCCTCAATCTCCATTTGGGCCTCCTCCTCCTCTCTCTTCCGTTTGCGTTGAAGACTTCTTGTCTTAGCGATTGCTTCTGCGCGTGCCTCAATGCGGCTTGGATCAAGACCAGCTTCTGTAAGCTTGCGGCTCATCTCTGAGAGCGTGCGTAAGCCAGCAGTGCGAGGCATGACGGGACGATTCTTCATCTTGTTCTTGTCTTGTGACATTTTTTTGTCACGCGAGCTCTTGGCAGTCTCCAGTGCTTCTCTTTCATCCTCAGAATTGAACTGAGACGGACTTAGGTAATAGGAGAGTTCAATTTTTGGAAAACACGCACCATGCTCTCTGGTTCACTCTCATAAAAGCCATCCGCTTCTAGTTTTTCCTCTTCGCGTTCAACCGCTTCCAGCTTTTCGACAATATCGGGATCGATGAAGTCGGCCACATTTTTGCCATCCATAATTTCCGGTATGATATCTTGCTTCCAATCGTCATCAGCTAGAAGATAATTCTCTGCATGTTGGGGTTAGCTTGTACAAGTTAAGAATACGAATCGACGGGAGCGTACTTTTGAGATTGATGTTATAGACGCCTGCTCCGCCCTCTTCCGCTTCGATATCCCGTTCTAGCTTGCGACGCATGGGATCATCCTTGTCATACCGTACCCGGGCGTTTGCTCCGTCTGGAATGAACGCTTCCCGGACGACGTCGTCTCTTGCTTTGGGTACCGCTACATGAATGCGATTGGCGATGTTGTTTATTTTACTGCCTTTGAGCTTATTGTCCACCCTGTGAGCAAGCAAAGCATCACATGCAGCCGTTTTGACAGCATTCACACCTTCGTCCGAGTAACACGAGAGCTGCACCACTTGCACGGAGGGGTCGTCTGTGATGGTGCTAATGAGAGCCTTGTTCTCTTTCGACAAATCTTCCAGTCTGGTGACATCAATTTTGTTGATTACCAGCAAGGTTGGCTTTCCGGCAAACAACGGCTTGATCGAATGAAACAGTTTGACTTGCGCCTCGATCGTGTATCCACATTGCTCGCTCAGGTCCATGAAATAGAGAACTGCACTGCGTAGATGAGCCAGGGCGGTGACACTCTGCATCTCGATGGTGTTCATTTCTTCCAGTGGATGGTCAAGGATTCCGGGGGTATCTATCACTTGCCAACGAAGGTATTTGTAGTCCATATGACCAACAAAGAGCGACTTGGTCGTGAAGGCATATGGTTGGACGTCGACATCGGCGCGGGTAATCTTGTTGATAAACGAAGATTTGCCAACATTTGGGTAACCACAGATGAGCAGAGTACGGGTATTCGGATCGATCGCTGGTAAGCGCGCGATGTGTTGTCGGACTTGTTCAAGATACGCTAAAGCGTCTTTCTGTCGGCGCATGACTGTTGCCATGCTGCAAATCAGATGTGAGATCAATCGTGTATGAACGCCAAGGGTTTGCGCACCGGCCGAGAGCAGCTTTCTTCAGCTGCTTGCAACGATACAAGCTATCTCCAAATTTCAACAGACGGACGTAATCTTTGGCCACTTGGTCTATCAAATGGCGCGCCGTATTGAGCTGGCCCAAAGCCAACTTGTAGTGGTTCTTGTCATACAAAACGTTCATTAAGGAGGCGAGGAATGGGTGAAGATTCTGCAGGACCAGTCAGAAAGTGCGCAGTAATGGTGCAACCCAAGCGCATACATCCAGAATGGGAAATTCAGACAGTATTGCGCCTAACTTCTCATCGAAGGAGTCCTGAGTGAATTTGACCTTTCTCATGTAAAAGTTGCGTATCCGGCTTATTTTGAAGTTTTTGTGTATGACCTTTATGAATCCCTTTTGAGTTACGATGTCACGAAGAACGATGTCAAGTTACGCACGGTAGGAGTTTTCCGCTGTGTCTTCGACAAGACAATGTCAAGAAAGTCTGTCGCCGTGGGTACAGGCGCAATGCCCTTCAATCCTTTGGAAGCCATGATCGTCGGAATGTAGATGGGTGAATAGGACAGCCAGGGTGTGAGCACAGAGCAAAAAAGAAATTTATGTGGCTGTGCCACGTGAATTTGCGACTAGCAAGGGCCTTGGGCAAAAAAGCCATGGTAAATAGTGTTACACTAAGTTGAGGACGTATTGTAAGCTACCGAAGGCCAGCTGCGTATCACTTCGCGTACACCCAAAAAGCCCTCATCTCGAGCAAAGGAGAGATGATATGACACTGCACGTAGACTGACACGGGACTACCAGATCGAGTTCAGGCCATAGACGAGTGGGAACTTGGTTGTATAAGGGTGATATTATCGCCTTTTAGCAGGATTCGTCCTATAGGAGTGTTAATGCCCTGTACACAAACACTTCGTGAGAAAAAAAAACGCACCAAGAGATCGAGGGGATTTGCTCTCCTCACTAACGAACACCTCGGACGCATCATCAAGAACCACGTTCATGAACTCGTCGAAGCCCTGCAACGCGCATTAATGAGAAAATCTGAAATGTAAGCAACTTAAGCGCACAATAATTCTGCCTTCTATTCTCATTTCCACATTATCGTAAAGCCAGATTTGAACTGGAACACGCTATTCGACCTGTCAGGCAAGTTAAGGAGGAGTGGCGGAGGAAACAATACCTGCTGAAGGTTCTTGAAGATGACATTCTGTCTCAAAGTTAGCAAGACTGCATGGATAGTACGCGTTAGACTAACGATGGGCTGTACCATCACACGCTGTTGGCGGCCGGACATGTTGCTGGAAAGGATAAAGCGAGCACAACAGGTAGTTGACAGGAACGTGAGCACACGGTTGTGGAATGACTTGGTGTAGTAGAACGGGATCAAATCTCAACGCGTTTAGTTCATTTAGTTAAAGCATTGCTCGCTTGATCACTGACACCGATATAGACCATCCATGGTGCAGAAGTACAAGTGCCAGATATGTGAAACCGCTGAGTTCAAGTACAAGTGCTCTGCTTGTCAAGTGCTATAGTATGTATTCAACATAACGATGGCACGTCTTACTCACGCTACTTAATTCAGCTGCTCCGTAGCTTGTTACAAACAACATAAGGGTTTGTACAGTCTTTTGATCCGTTGTCGTCCCGTCTCATAGATGAAAACTAGCAGAGACATCATGCGGCGGATCTGCCACTTCTTCATCGGTACCGGAGAAGACGTTGCCTCCAATTGAACCACCTTCAAATTGCGAAGGTGTGACTGATCAGCGAGCCACGCTCCGCCCACTGTCAAGCCTTCGCTGGCCTCCAGAACCGGAAACGTCGATGTTTATTGATCCTTTGACACGCGATGACCCGAAGCCGCTGAAAAATTCTCAATATCTCGTCATTGGTCAGTGAACCTTCGGACTCTGCGTTGTCGTCTCGCACTTAACGGACACCTTGTCTGTAGCCACGTCTCCGAAGATTCGCTCTATGCTACGCGATGACCCACGATTGCCGCTTATTCTCCGCTCTTTGGATTCTTTGTCGTCATATGCACGAGAGAGAGCGCTTAAAGTAGTGTTGGGGGTGTCGACAGGTGGTCCGGATCTAGTTCAGCTGGATAACGGAGAATACATGGATGCAGACGACATGGAACTGATGAGGTTGTTTGTGGAAGAGGTTGAGAAAGCTGTGCGGAAACCGGACGATTTGGGTCTCGTCAGAGAAGAGGCTGATTGATGTGCTCAAAGAGGTCAAACCCCGTGTTTTGCACGTAAGCAATGTCATTCACTTCAACTTCTCCAGGAAGTTACGCTATTCGCAAGTCTAGCCGTGTCTCTACTAAAGAGTCCGAAGAGCTTGGCATTGTGGTATGCACCTTCAAACCCTGTGTCCAAGATCGATTTCGTCAAAATGTCTGGGCACTGATGTCTGTTCCCCGTCGAATTGGAGAGGGTCTTTAATGTCCAGGGAGGCGCCATGGTACAGAACAACATTGTCTTTCCTGTCCTCAGCGTCCATGTACGCGGGAGCTGGATAAGCTGCGATGTAAGGTGGTAATTGGCCATTCGGGTCGAAAGATGTGAAGGGCTGTGCGGTGGGCAAAGTGATGCTCACGCTCTGATTCTCCATTAATGCATGCGTCGAGGAATATATGAAGTTGGGAGCTTACAGCCTGAGTCCCGAAGATCCCAGGAAGGTGCACCTTCCAATGAAAACGTGCCGCCTGACTAGATTGCCTTGCTGCATCCTCGCGTTGAAACCCCTCGATCACCTTGCGAACTTTGAGTGCACCCTGAATGTCGATCGTCAGACATCGCTACGGTGGAGGTCCAGTTACACGCACAACACCCTTCCAGATTGCGAGAGGTGTCCAGAACAGGAAGCATACTGCGACGAAAATACCAAATCCGATGAGGTGCAACTCGACTACTTTCGTGGTGAGGGTGCTGTTCTCGTTCACGGTGACGACGCTGAAAAGGTAATGATATATAATGATAGGCGCAATGAAAGTAGCCCTTACCAAGTGTCAACAAGCGGCACCTGGGGATTGAGGATAGCTTACAAGAGGCCCAAGCCGAACCAAGCTTTCTCGAACCTCGGCTTAGAGTACCGCTTGACCAGCCGGTTTACGGTTGATAGGCGATATGACCAATCCCCTTCGGACATCTGCCCTCCCAGTCAAATTATGTCCAAAGGTGGAGTGAGCAACGTACATGGGGTCTCAGCTCGGGAGGGCATGGTGGGATGGAATCGTGTTGCGTTAAATACTATGTTGATGAGTAAGCTCGCATTGATTCTTCACTTTGCGGCCCCAATACATACCACCACAATGGCTTCTTCATTTCGCCGTACATTTTGGCCGTACATGATCGATAAGCTTTCTTTGATGGTGGAATGACAGTGGGTGTTTTCGAACCAGTCGAAAGAGAATGGTACAGCGACTGTCTCAGACAGCAAATAGCACGGTGCTTACAGAAGTACGATCCAAAGGAAACGAGGATGAACGAAAGAGCACTCCGTTGGGCCCAGTCACGCTTATGAAGGGCAGTTATAGAGGCTGCGCAACTCGATTCTATGCCAGCTGTCTTCCGGAAAGTGGTTGCCAACAGGCCAGAGCCTCGCTTCTTCTGACGTGATATTAATAGTAAAAAGGGATTAGAAGCAAACACAACGATGTGGTAAGAATACTCGTGTTGTCCCTCGTTGCGCAGTGAATGCGCAACTGATCCATGATTGTTGACATCCTCAACCAGCAGCGTGACGACAGAGTTAAACGGTTGCCACACGGTGCGAAGGTCTTTTGTGGGGCAGAACCCTCGTTTGTTTAAACTCTGCTTCCGTCTTCATATTATTTGCGATTCTCGCCACTCACATCAAGACCTTGCCTACAGCGCGTCAGCAGCCTCTGACCTTTGGACTGTGCAACGACCACATCACTTCTATCGCTCATCGTAATACCTCGCGTATTCTTTTCAAAAAAAGAAGGCGACATGGAAGCTCAACTGTCTGTTCTTTTCTATCTTAAGCACTGAACTTGCTCAATTCACACCTCTGTAGGAAATCAATGCGTGTCCCAGAGCTCAAGGAGCTGGCCACCAAAGCGGGCATTAATGTCGGTGCAAAATTAACGAAGGATAAGATTATTTCTCTTCTCCTGGAAAGTCCAAATGTCGCGCCTCTCCTCGGTATCACATCTGCTGGCACCGCTCTCCCTGCAGCACCTGAGCCTAAGAGGCCGACTACAACGACTGCCCCTGTAGCCGCCCGGAAATCTGCACCAGCAAAGGGCAGCTTGCAGGACTTGGTCCGCATAAAATCTTTGTTATGTGGATATTCTCTTACGGGACATATAGCTTGCGCCTTCAACGGAGTTTGACTGGCCCGAAACTGCTCCAGCACCTGCCGTTGGCATCACCACGCCCAGCGCTGCCCCTGAACCTGTGTATGCTGCAAACCCTGTTAAAGCCAATATTCCTACACCAGCTACAACAAATGATGTAAGCTCCGGTATGTCTGACCTTTTATGCCGCATTTCAAGGGGGATACTGATCCCCCTACAGATGTGCCCAACCCCACGCCTGTTGTCCCGGCTCCATTGCCCCCGTCAGATGTTCCGGTGAATCCATTAGAGGGGACGTCAAAGCCTGTCGCTGGGACAACGAAGTTGACTGAGGAAGAAAAGCGCGCCGCACGCAAGGCGCGATTTGAAAGAGAATGGCAACACGACCAGGCTCGTAAAGATGCCGAGACGGCAGCGAAAGCTGCTCGGGCTGCTGGTCGGGCGAAAGAGGTAACTGGGCAGAACGGGTCCGAGACGGCGAAGCAGGCAGCCGCTGCCCCTACGTCAGCGAACGCGGACAAGGCGACTAAAAGCAACGGGACGAAAGGCAATGGAATTTCAGTCAGTGTGCTTTACATTTCTCTCTTCCTTCTCTAAGTTGTATTCAGGCCGACGTCATTGAGAAGCGCAAAGCGAGATTTGCGCAGGGTGGTGATCAAGCCAAAACTTCTCCCCCTGTCGCACCGGCTCCTCAGCCAGCAGCAGCACCCCTGTTAAGCGGGATTGACGCAGAAAAAGCAGCTGCGCGCAGAAATAAGTTCAATTCTTTGGTCCCCGTGAGATTCTTTTTTGCTATGTGCAAGTTTCTGAGCTAACAACATGGACAGGGACAGCCGGGGTATGAGGAGGCTACGTCTCCCAAGCGCAAGTGGGAGGAGGATTCCAACGTGCTCCCATCGAAGCGGGTCAAGAGCGACCCTTGAATACGGCCATCTACAGCATTTGCGGCGACTCTTATTTGTAATTTGCGAACAGTCTTAGTCTTAAACACGACCTGTCGATGATGTATCCTAACTCTGTCTCGCAATAATGTCTCATTAATCCCGAGCTCACTTGGGAAAGTAGCTTCGTTCTCTGAGAAATATGACGAACAACGGTACATTCGTATCTTACACTTCCACCTCCTGGACAACAAAAAAAGAACTAAATAAGGAAGCATTACATGGCGTCTCATAGCTGAGTCCGGTCATATACCAAATCCATCAGATCAATCCGGGGCGCTGAGGGGTCTTTGGGAGAAGGCGTACACCAGGACTCTCTGGTGTGTCCTGTAAGCTGCCATCCTGTGCCCGCGCAGAGTTCATGCTTTCGGCTACTAGGCTCGCAGCCTCCTCGTCATCCAGGTCTGAACCATGCACGCCTGGATAGTGCTTGTCGGAATGTTGCCGACCAAATAGGCCTCGGCGTGCCTTCTCTGATGTGGAAGAATGTGACTCTTCCTCTTCTGCGTGAGAATACATCGTACCAACATTGGGTCGATTTGAGTTGATTTCAGACATACTGTCAAACGAATGCCTCGCGGGGATCGGGGGTAGATCTTCGGAGTAGGGGTCTGCATAGGTGTCTCGGAACGACGACTGTGATGCAGGGGCAGTCTGCGTGCGGTAGGACCTGTCAGAATCGTAGTTGCGGAAAGCACTGGCCTGCAGTGGATCGCTCCCCTGAACATCCCGCAAAGAGGATGCATCCAAAATTTCTGCATGGAGTGAGTCTTGTCTTGGAGCCATCTGTGGCGTAGAATGCCCATGGGGTTGTAAAGCGGCATCGGTAAACCGAATGCTCTGCGCCTTCGGTGCCGGGTTGTTCGATGGAATGCGCAGGGACGTGGGGTTGGAATACATCGAAATACGCTCAGAGGCATCAGATGGCAAGGGAGGAGGGACAGGGCTGTCCGACAGCTGGTAGCGTCGCATGCCGCCATAATGCGGTACTTCTCCTTCTTCCAATATAGTAGGAGGTCCGTGACGCGACGTGTATCTTGAACCAGCGCCGGACATGCTGAGCCTCTTCGCACTGCGGGCACGGATAACGCTACCAATGAGGCCGGACGAACCGCGGATGGCATCCAAACCAGGTTCTTCTATGCCAATGAGATCGCCCTTCTCGTTCTCCTCGGTCTGTGAACGAGCAGCTTGCAACAGGAGCGTAGATTTCCGATCCAGACCCTTTAACTGTGTGGGGTCGATCTTAGACATCTGCAGAATAGTGATGCCAGCACCTGAGAATTGTCAGAATAGACGAGGAAAAGGTGCAGCCTTCTTACAAATGACAAGGAAGCCGAGCACCACGGTCATGATTTGGATCACCGTGGACTTCACTCCTTGATACAGGATCTATAGAGGTTTTCAATTACGCCCCTCTGTTTTGGCACCATGACACTTACGATTGAAGTCACCAATGTGAAGAAGGTGAATATCACGTAATAGGTAGGAGTTACTAAGAGTCCTTCAATTCCAGCTTCCGATCGGCGTCATGTAGTACTGCTTACCCATGGCGGTGTTGAACAAGGCTAGTGCCACGTTCAGGAAATAGATTTCCGTTACTATGGACGGATCAGCGTATGAGAAACACGAGGTCGCTTGCGAACATACACAGCGTCATGGCCACAAAAACAAGCAAGAAGTAGAAGAACCATTGTTTCAGCTAAGTGCTTTGTAAGCGTGCGTGACCCCAATTCGTTACGACGTCATACCTGACTGTTCCCCCTAACGGAGGTGACGATCGCTGCGCCAAGCCCTTGTGTACAGGACACAGACAGGCCACCAATCACCGAGCAAATCATGATATACCATAGCATGTTCTTCTTACCCCATCTGCGATACGTCCTTCAGCTAGTCAACACCCGAAAATAGCAATAAAGACGAACCTCGGAGCACAGTAGAAGATGATCACCAACGCGCTCGCGATGGCCAGACTTCCATACACAAGAAATCCGGGCGAAAGAAATAGCTGCATGAATTGTGGAATGGTGGAAACGGTCTGCTCTTGCGGTCCATTAAGGGCAATGATGGTGCTTCCGACCTGATCGGGCTGTCAGCTTGGTATTACACCTCAGGCGTATGAGGGCGTACAATACATAGAGCACAGCCAATCCACCCGAAGAAGGTAAGCTTTTCGTTTAGGAATATGGAGGACAGAATGGCACAAATGACCACCGATAAGGCTCCTAGTGGGGTCTGCGACAACTCAGTCAGGCTACGCCAGTGAATTGATGACATCTACGTACGACTATGATAGCTTCGACAAATGCATATGCTGTTAATGAAGTGAATAAAACGATGGGCGTGAGAAATAGTAATGGGAATACCTGCGAAGTTACACAGCTCTCCCATAATCATCATTGTCATCCCAGTCCACCACATGGGCTGCATAATCGAGTCAAGGTTCGTCCAGCAAACGTCAAATCTTCCGACATACAGATTTCAGATATGCGACACCCTCTCCCGCTACCTTTCCCTCTACAGCAGGTGGTAAGCCCCGATATACCCGTTCCTGGAACCCATGCGAGCGCACTCTGTGAAGCCAGCAGGCCCTTCTTTTTGAACACAAACGAGGACCCGATGAGCAGCCCGGAGCCTACGGCTAGCAGCACCCCGACACTATCCCAAGAGAATCAGTCCCATATCAAGCCCCCGTAGCAGTGCTGACATACATCTTGAACGCAGGCGGCGAAGAGTCCAGGGAGGACGCGGCCGTTGATGCCGACGCACTCGCCGACGCCGTTGTTGTCGACATGAGGTAGGAATCTCTAGTAGGTTTTGGTGAAAGATATCAAGAGGATAAGGGGAACACTATTGGGAAGAGGATAACAGTGGTACGGAACAAGAGGCGTGTGAGTTACAGACTGTCCAGTTGGGGGCGGTGGACCGCATTGATACCTGTGCAACTCGGCAGGGCACCCGCACAGCCCCACACACACTGGCGATGGTGCCGACCAAGCGGAGTCTTCCCTCGAAACGAATCACCAAAACGAGTATCAATTCATGCGCAGCATCGTGGATGCCGCCGGCTTATCTTTCTTTGATCCCTTGATCATCGCTTTCCAATCATACAGTAAAATTGATTGCAAAATCCGAATCCCGGTCTCTAAGAGACTCAACTGTGTTTTACAACAAGGACTGTAGTACCCCTAGCAACATCCGACACTTCGGCAGTTCGCCTACGGGGCCGATCCTGTCGCCGCAAATGGCCCCACTAATGTGTTTATCACGAGATACGTACGAAGCGACAGCGCACTCTAGTCTCAGCCGCGGCATCAATCAATGCATAACATCACCTGGCAAAGACACAGTCGCATCCCGAAAAAGGTGAAGGAGCTCGCTAGCAGCAAATCCGCTATCCAGCATGACCTTGCGGACCTCAGGGCGGTCAAAGGCGTTTTTCAGTCGTAGCCGGGATATATAGTGTTCAACTCGGTTGATGAGTGTTTCGAGCACCTGGTCCACCTGGACACTGCCGTTATACCCAATCCGTGACAATAACTCCTCTTGTCGGCCATAGATAACGTTCTGACCCTTCTCATTTGATTGCTTTGCTGGATCGCGGACTGCCTCATCCAGTAGACGGAATATTTGTCCAGAGTCCAGTGCCTCCAAGCGCCTGCACACTAGCGCCAGGGACACAAGACCTTCCCTCGACATGCCAGGTCCATGAGGGTCAGCATCCGCCGTCGATCCAGGGACACCTGACTCAGGAGACTGGGACTTGTCCAGCCGTGTTCGGCCAACGAGTCGTTTCGGGAAAAGGAGTGTGAGCCACTCTGGCTGTTCGATCCCTTTGAGATCTGTCTTACCCACCGAAATGAGGACTGGCAAAAGCTCCTTGATAACCTCCAGATGTCGCTGATCGTCCTGCGAAAGCGCAGCCTTGCCTCCATTCGTTGCGGTTATCGTATCATCCTCCAGAAGGGGTTGCAAGCGGTCCGTAGCATCACCACTCAACATGATATAACCACCTTTGGCGGCAGCGGCTACTCTCGCTGCTCGATTAACGACCGGCCCGAAGTAATCCATTCGACCAGTGGTTGGATCGGGATGCCACCAAGGGATGCCCAGGTGGATACCCATTCGGACCGAAATTCCACGCTCTATGAGCTCCCCATTCTCATCGAGTTCGTCCTTCCCATCCTTGCATGCAAGAAGATCTGCAGGCCAATCCTCCAAGAGAAGTTGAACCTGGACTTCCAAGCAACAGCGCACGGCACCCAACAGACTTGGAAACGCAATCATGAACGCATCTCCTTCCGTTTTGACTTCGTAACCACCGCATAACCGGATCATTCGACGCATGCACTTGTTATGGATATCCAAGCTATGATGCATGCTTTCAGAGAGTCGCTCCCAAAGTGCGGTCGAGTTGCGAACGTCGGTGAAAACCAGAACGACATTCCCTGTCGGCGCGCCGTCCTGCGCCTTGTCTCGGGGAAACAAAGTCATGGTTGATCCACCAGTACGACGAAGGTTTGCCATGTCCATATGGGAGGGGAATAGATCAGACAGCATAACCACCATCACTTGCAGACGGCTCGAAGCGCCATGACCGAGTGCAAGGTCTCGCAGGGCTTGGGCTGCCGACATACCATCATAGCGTTGATGATGATTACGGACGATCTTGGCCGCGACATCCTTCTTGACATAACTCCAAAATTCGGCGTTGCCAATAATGATGAATTGGTGATCTGGAGATAACTGTATTTTTCTTATATCGGGGCTCGAATTAATCACTGGGAACTTGGAGAAGAAGCCAAAGGCGCGAGGTACCCTCGATTCTCCTCTCAAAATGCCTTGAGGGGCGATACGCGCCTCGGAGGTCTTGATGCGTTCCCTTTCGCGTGTATCAGTGGTCACATGTGCGCGGGTTACCAGATCGAGTCTTTCGCCGACTCTGCCCAAGAGAGCCTCGACATTTCCAACGTGGGCAATATACAGAGTCCTCCCCGAAAGATATGCGACGCAACCGCAAGCCACATTCTGAAGCTCTGGGTGCTGAACCACTGGGTCTCCACTCTCTAACCGAGTAGACGCTTTGATCGGAATGTCCATGCTATTCATATTGACGACGTTCGCATAGAAAGTCTTGTTGAGCCTGACGAACGTCCGCCTGATGGCATCCTCCACTTCACCCAGTTCCGGATGTCTTTGAACCGAATCTAATTGTCTCTCGAACTCGGCTGGAAAATGCGTGACGACAAATCGCGTCAGACTGTTCTCTTCGGGCTTTGCGGATGTCAGAGGCTGTTCTCGAGTGAAAATTCCGAAGAGACATTCGTCAGCACGGCCACGATATTTCGGCACAACCATGTCGAATGATCCAATGAGGTCCTCGTCAATCGCATCTGACACGTCATATCGCATGCCATTCAGTGAAGAAGCAGTTGTTCGTATGCGGCATCGAGCTGATTCCTCTGGGAGATAAGTTACAGCAAGTGTGACATCTATCAGACCAAGTAATTCGAGCTGTCTTAGCACTCGGAAATCGGCCGCGTTAATACCTGGTCTGTGACGGTTGGATGGCGGTTTATCGATTTTGAGCAACTTGTTTCCAGACAGATTCAGCATCTTCAGTTTCTGATTCCATATCCTAGACAGAAAGAATTGTCACTCTTGAGTGGAGTTTACCAGAGACCTATGCCAAGACTCACCACTGATAATCGTACCCAGTGTTGTTGATGTTGTAGTTCAATAAGTTGTTACCCACATCAAGGACTTGCATGTGTTCATATTTGACGATCTGAAGGGGCAAACTTTGCAAGTAGTTGCCGTTGAGATAGAGTCGTCTTATGGCGCCTGTTGGTGGCAGAACCTCGGCTCGCACTGCCATTAATTCTGTTGCGCTCAGGAACAGTGCCTCCAAATGCGTGAGATGGCTCAAAGTTTCGTCAGGAATACCTCGGAGAGGATTATAAGACAAGTTTAGAATGCGAAGGTGGGTGAGCATCGATATGGGCAGCAACACGGAGTCGTCGCAAAAGTTATTCGCCAGATAGAGCTCCTTAAGCACCTTTACCAAAGGCGGTTCACCTCCGCTTGGAGACGTTGGGAATCCAGTCAACTTGTTAGAGCTCGCGTTGAATACCACCAAGTGTGAGCACATCCAGATGGTTTCGGGAATAGCTGTCAGATCGTTACTGTGAACCAGTAGTATTGAGAGGCGCTCCATGTCTCCCAGTGTATCGGGTAGATGCTTGAGAGAGGCATTGCATGCTGATAGCCTCGCCAACTTTTTGAGCTTTGTGACTGTGGGTGGCAGTTCGCCAATACGGGAGTCATCGAGGATTAACTCCTCAAGATCTGGATAGACGCCAAAGTCCAGTTGGAGGGAAGAAAGCTTGGTGTGAGACAAATCGAGCCTACGAAGTATCCCTCGATTGGTGGAGGATTTCGGACTGGGATTGAAACGCGTGAACGTGTTGGCTTGGAGGTTGAGTACTTTGAGCTTCTTCGGCAGCCGTTCTGGTATGATATTGACATCGTTGTATGCAGCCTCGAGTGTGTATAAGGCAGGCAGGGCAGAGATTACAGAGATGTCCTTGATCTGGTTCCTGGCAATATCCAGTGTCCTCAGAGAGGCCAAGTACCGCAACTCGTTGGGGAGTTCTTGTAGGTCGTTTCGCGCCAGGACGAGCATCTCCAATTGTGTCAGAGCACCAATACCTGCTGGGAGCTTCTTGATATCGTTGTCGGCCAGAACAAGCTGCTTCAAAAGATGCAAGCGGCACACGACCGAAGGCACGTGCGTGAGGCGATTCATGTCCAGTCGCAATTCTTCTACGGGAAGGTCGCAGATCGATGAGGAAAGGTCCGTCAACAGATTCGCGTGCAGCTTGAGAACTTTCAGGTGCACCAGATTCTGGAGTCCTCCATAATTCATGTTGACAGTTGTGATCCGATTATATGATGCGTCGAGAAGGGTCAAACTGGTGCAGAAGGAAATCGCCGCCGGCAGGCGTTTGAGAGCTGTCCGGGAAAGGTTGAGTTCTCTCAGGTGGGTGGTGGCCATGCAGAAGTCCTTCGGCAGGTCGGTGATGGGGTTGTGCCTGAGCGAAAGCCGTTCAAGGTGCGGGGCAACTTTGTGCAATTGTGCCGGGATCGTTTGCAGATTGAGCTCATCCAGCTTGACATCGCCTTGCATATGGTCGAACATCCCGTCATACTCCTGGGTCAGTCCATGGAGGTCCGACATCTGCAGCACGAAGCTGCAGAGATGTTGGAGCTCTCGCCCGCCTTGTGCTTTTAGCTTGTCGAGCTTTGTGTATCCCGCTGTGAGGAGGCGGCGACGGAGAATGACCAGTGGCTTCTCCTTCTTCATCAACATGCGCTCTAACCATCTTCCATCAGCATATATCCCCAGAATAGCAGGGGGAAAACGTGTTGATCAAGAACGCAACGTGTCGATCAGATCACCGTGCTCTCGTACACGTCTTCCCATCGCTTTGAGAAGAAAGACAGCTCACCTCGACCCTTTTCCACAATAAAGAACCTGTACCGACCAATCATGCCTTCATTCTCAAGTCCAAAACGTGTGACCATCGACTGCCGAATATCGTATGCGGTTGCCGTCAATGGACAAGAAACGACATGCCACGAGCCATTGGGACGATAGACCCGGAGCACGTACTACAGAAGAGGCTATCAGACATGCCCCAATGCGCCCCACCCCGGTCGCCGCCGACAAAAATGCTGACCTTGTCCTCCACCTCTTCCATCCAGTTCTTGCCATCGCGTTCATCCCAGGTAAAATCATTCTCCACAGGCTCGATCCCGGCCTCACCACTGTCTTCCTCTTCGTCACTTTCCTCTGCTTCGCTTTCCAAACCTTCCTCCTTCGCCAGCGCCTCTTCGGTCATGACCGCCCACGAGTCTGGCACTTCCCACTCCGTGCCCGGAGCCTGAGACTGCTGCCGCACGAGTGACGGTCTGCCCTGAGCAGCACTGCTCTCTGTCGTGATGCTGAGCCTCCCTGGCATATCGTCCGTCGGTCCCGCTTCTGCTCCAGTCGCGAGCGTATCTACGCTGCTACGAGGAGGCTCGTCCCCGACCGCACCAAAGCTCATGAACTCCTCGGGATTGAGGTTGTCAAAATCAACATGGTCGAAGAATGTAGTTGTCTTGAACTCTGTGTCTTCTTCGACCAATTCCTCAGGGACCGAGGCAGAGTGCTTCTTCGACTTGTGTTTTCCCCCACCTGCATGCTTGCGATCCACCGACGTGGTTGACTGTGACTTGATCCCGAATGAGATGTTAGTCGGTGTTTTGGGCCCGGGGATAGAAGGCAGCTTTCCTGACAATGACGAAAGGGAGACGGAAGCAGTGGAACTCGACCCATTCGATCGTATAGGCAAAGGCGGAATCGGCTCTCCTCCATTCGGCTGCGACCGCGGAGGGCGCAAGGAGGTGCTCGACATCTTCTGCTTCAAACGTCCAAATACCCCAGATTTCTGCTCCGGTGGCGAGTGCGGCGAGTTGAAGATGGACCGGGAGGAGGAATGAGCGGAGGAGGGTGTTTGGGGCGCAAAGCGGTACTCGTCTGAGTCTGCGGTAGGGCGCCGGTCCCGACGAGGAGTGGGCGCGTTCCACGGCGATGGGGTCATCATGTTGGCAGGGACGACAGAGGATCCAGACACGGACGGGGCTACGGAGACGTCAGAACCCGCAAATGAGGCTGAAGTGCTTGTTCGCGTGGCGAGGGAGAACCCAGTTGTCTGTCGTGGGGATGCAGGAGGCGGAGGAGGCGGAGGGTGGTGAGAGAACCCAGCAAAGACGCTCGACAGCGAAGGTTTCGTGCTCTTGCGAGACGTGCGAAGACTCGTGTTGGATGTACTGGGGCCGTCAGAGCCAGATGTGGAATACAGCGAGCTGGTGCTAGGCTTGCTCGAGTGAAGAGAGGTACTGGAGGTTGCTTGCTTGCTTGGAGGAGGGGAGAGGTATGTCTGTAGACGGGGAAGAGTGCGAGGGTCGTACGGGCTTGAGGTGCGTGAGAGGTCGCGCTCTGATGGATGAGAAGAGGGGAGGTCGATGGTAGACGCCAAGTCCCACGTCTGGGAACGAGGCAGAGGAGGTGTCTGGGCATGAAAGTCGACCCCTCCAGTCCGCTGCCAGGTGCTGCTCGTTTGGGTCTAACGCAGATGTCAGTCAGCTGGTGGCGAGGAATGAGACCACAGAGCAAGCAGGCAGTGCTCACCCTCGGTTTCCCCTGCTCTGGTGCAGGCCATGGCATGATCAATGCTCTCTCTGCCTCGCTCATCCTCTCTTTGACCTGCTGCGGGGTGAGGTAGATTGTCTCCCTCCTCCGATGGTGCTCAGCGCTTTCATCGATCGTTATTGACTCAGAGGGAAGTTGTTCTACGCTGCTACCCAAGCTGCCGCTGTTGGATGAGTCGCCTGTGTACCATCGCTTGAATGGTTTTGACATTGAAGTCAAAGTTCAGCAGTGGTCGACAGTAAGAGACAGATGGTATGAAGACTGATGAGGCCGTTGATGACTGGAATTCAAGGAAGGGCTATTATGCCAATGGGATGTTTACCTCCACGGTGCCTTCTTCCTCATTCCTCATCCTTCACTTATACAGGAACATTGTGCCAAACAAGGCCATCGATCCATGCGCTCAGGGTCTGCATTTTCCCTCTAACGCCGCTGCGTTTGTTTGACCTGCACCTCAAACAAGGCATTGTCGTTACCGTGACCCTTGGACGCTCCGTGAATGGTTTGGCCTTGCCTCAAAGACCAGCACCATCGTATCCTTGCACACCATCAATCGTACGACCAACGGCGTATATGCGTTCTGTGACTGTAAACCAGCACCAAAAGTACATCGTGTTGGGAAGAAAGGAAGAGAGAGAAAGATCGATCTACCTCCGCCCCGATCTCTCTCACGATCTGGTTTCACATCGAGTGGCAGTGCATTGTGATTTTACCCATCAAACGGTATTGAGGCACGAAGCTTGGTGTGTGTGGAGAGATCGGCGGAAAGGATAATCCTATACCACGAAAGGGGGTCCTTTGTGAAGATTAGCTACTTGTGTCAACTGTACTCTACACCTCCCTATGAAGCGTCAGGAGTAAGTCCGCTGGAGGGGGAGTCGACGGTAATGGCTCGGGTCAAATAGATAATAGTCCGTAGGTGCAGTTCGAGTAATAATCGAAGCCCGTTCCGAAGAGATAGCTAGTTCGAACTCGAAGTACGATTCGAAGGTCGGAATGAGTGTCCGGATTGCTCAAAGAGAGAGAGAGAGAGTAAGGATTGACTGTAAGTTAAAGGTGTAGTGTAAGGATTAAGGTAAGAGATAAGATTGCAGAGGTCACAAGATCGGACAAATCGAGCCATGAATCGGCTCATACCAGGCCACCAGTAGTTTCGAGAGACAAGTTCGAGGGTTTTCCACTGACCACGGTGTCCCGAACTCTGAGTATCATGATGGAGGGCCACAATCTTGCCTCGAAGTGTTTCGTCTTTCGGGACATATACCTTGCCTCGAAATAGGACGAGTCTCTGGTTTTGTACTCTACACCTCCCAATGAGGCATCAGGAGTAAGTCCGCTGGAGGGGGAGTTGACTGCAGTAGTCCGGTTTGAGTAGGTAAAAGTCGATAGAAACGTTCCAGTAGTAATCGAAGATCGTTCCGAAGGAGAACCTGATCCGAATACCGGTTCGAAGTTCGATCCACATTCTGAATACCCAAGGCAGGCGAGCCCACAATGCTCACTGAGGCGCGAGTTGCAGAAATGACAGTTCGAGGCAGCTGAGCTGGCTAGGATATTTGAAGGAGGGAATTGCGAGGACTCGGAGTGCCGTTTGAGGATCCGAACGGTCGTTCGGATTGAAGGGAATCAGAAGGTAAGAGTAATGGTTGACTGCAGGTTATAGGTATAGTGTGAAGTGTAAGGTAAGTGTCAGAGATCACCAAGGTCGAAGGAGTGTGTCCCTATTCCGAAGTACTTGAATCCTCCCTATATACGTTCGGAGGCGGTTCGGACTTTCGGACTAACTATCCTAACTCCATTCCTAAGCTATAATTACCTAAGGCTGTGTCTAGGGTCCGTTTCTCTCTACTGTCTTCAAGTTGTCGTAGTCCTTTGGAACCTCGGCTTCGAAATTAGAATGTGCAGCACACAACACGATTCAAGAAAGAAACATTCGCAAGGCTGGCCAACGTATTATATGCATAACAGATAATGTACATTGTGAACGGAAACAGTCGATAGGGCAGTAGACGAACCTTGGTCGACCGCCGAATTAAAGGAGACAGCAGAATGGGCATTGGGCAGTACCACCACGAAAACCTGGATTCTGACCCCCGATTATTCGCTGGGAATCATGTTCATTAAATCACGAAACGGTGCGGTGTATGCATATGTTCACGCGGCGAGCCTCCTTGGTCGCGGCTTGGTCTTCTTAGGAGCCACATGTAATAATGTGCTCTGAGGGATGACAGAGGGGGATTTAGATGCGACCGCGCCGAATGCAAAAGGAAGCTTGGTCTGCATCGGCGGGGCACTCTTCGGGATACTATATCGGAGCCGTAAGCTCAGTCTCTGGAGAGCGTCTTTCGCCTCCGTACGCTCAAGGTGGGCGGCCCGGGTATCCACTAGCAATAAAATGTCATTTCAAAGCTTGAGTTTGAGTAGGAGCAGCACCAGCTTACTGATTTTGGTATAGACGCTGAAAACCTCCTCGGCGAGCTCTGCGAGTGTTGCATGATTCTCACGATCCTGTAGGTATGAGTGCATGTGCGTGAGAGCGGTCTCCATGATCTGGGTAACGAGGTACAGTTCCTCGTAATTCGTTTCGGCGTGAATCCCGAATGGCGATGTCCGGGATTGGTAGTTCACAAGAGACAAAAGCGTTGGAAGTGATGGCGGTTGTTGATAGCTGCTCTCATCAAGCGCATCAAGCGTGTCGGGAATAAGGATATCAACGGCGAGCCAGCGAGCCATCACCATGGTTCTGTCACGACCACGTGGGAACAAGGACAGGAGCAAGCTCTTTTGAGATATGGTCCAACTCTTGACAAGGTTGCCGATCTGCTTACAAATGTTCAAGGCCTGCTGAATGTCAGCATCTGTTCCCATGCATACGACAAGAACACGTACCAAAGCATGATCCACCGCATCTTTGTGGACGGCGTCTTCCAGGGCCAGAGTGAGCTCTCTACTGACAGCCGGAGAAGTACCGGGGTCCATCCCGATAAGGAACAGTAACACGAAGAGATCTGGTAATTCGGCATCCTTGAACATACGCAGCCGAGCAAGACCGCAAACAAGGGTGGTCAAAATCCACGAAAGATCTCGATTCCATCCGAGCGGACTCGACTGTGAGTCGGGTTGGGGTCTGTCAAACGATGCCCGGGCTTCGGTCGTCATGCCGATATCTCGGCAAATCCCTAAGATAACCCCCAGTGGTATATGAGGTTCAGGGTAAGTCGATATGAAGTTAAGGAATTGTGCACGAGCGGTGTGTGCGACTGCCATGTCCTGATGTCGGGTGGCTAGGACTCGGTAAGCACTTTGGTGCGAGCAAAAATAAATAAATGCCGCCTACCAACTCGCAGCAGCCATTCGACGAAGGTACCAGTATCGCTGAGATCAGAATACGGCAGCCAACAGAGGATGCCGTTCAACCTCTGCGCATTTGACGATGACACTGCATTCACAGCGGCTAACATGAGCTCATCCTCCTTCCATGCTGGAACATTCCAATCTTCCACAGCACGGGTTTGATCATCACTTGCTGCCCGATTCCAGAAGAGTCTTGCACCTTTTCCCCCATGTTCTTCTCTCAGCTGCTGCTCGCGCCGCTCGGCCTTATCACGCTCAAAGAGCTTCACCATCTCCTCTTTGTCCTCACCGAGATGTTCTAGGATCGCACCACCACTCAGACTGCTGCCTTCCAGGAGGTCCATATCCTGAGAACCGACAGAGCCCTGGGAAAAGCTGTGGTTAAGACCAGGGCTAGGCGACTTCGAGCCGCGGTTGACGATCTCCTCCGCTCGCCGGATGGCAGCTGTGATCCCGTCGCGTTCGCGCTGATCCGCTTGCTTCAAGATACAGTCCAGGTCGCGATTGGACTTTGTCGTTCCTTTCTTTGGCGGTTCGGTGGGAGGGGTCATGCGAGGTCGCCTTCGCGGTTGCGGCGTGGGAGTAGTGGCACGGGCATCTAAGCCCGAGGGTCCAGGGCTCGGTGATGAGGATGGCGGAGTCGAAAGAGGAGAAGAGGGCCATATATTGGGAGACATATCTGCTAAACCAGATCCAGATCTGATGTGACACAGTTAACGGGCATGTTCTCGTGTGAGGGAGAGGGACCCACTTCTTCAATCGGTCTTTATCCGTCATAGCTGCCTTCCACACATCCTCCATATCCTCGAGCTCATCGCTGTCTTCCCTCAGGTCCAACTCGGCTTTTTGCTCCTCTTCCTCCTCAGCCATGGTCCTGCTAACCCTAGCCCTGATCTCCGCGATGATCTGTTTCGTGCGTTCCTCCCGTCGCTGCGACCCAGTAAGCTGAACCCGAGCGGGGGACGGAGGTGTCGGGACAGCCGAGGACGGTGCGGTGGGCGCAGGCGAGGAAGTGAGAATAGGTAGGGCGAGAGATACGTCTACCTCGTCCATAGACCTGGTAGATTGAAGAGAGCTAGATGGTTGGAATATCTCGCTGCGAATCCTCGATAGATGCGCGTCTTCCAGCCGAGGGGGCTCAGCTCCAGCATCATGTGAAGAACCGTTGGCCGGTGTATCCATGTCCCAATCGTCTGTTGCCCCTCCTTCGGTCCATCCCCCGTTCCAGGTGTCGTGCTTTGAAGGACTCTTGACTTTGACATCCTGACTCTTTGAGGGAGAAGTGAAAGTAAGCTCTAAGCCTCCCTCCCCTTTCTGAGAGCTGGGCAGCAGTTCCTCATCCTCGTCAGCGTCAACGCCGCTCAATGCAGCCCGTTTCAAAGGAGAACCGTGAGGAGTTGGGGTAGACGGAAGGGGGTGGGTCAAAGGCGAGGCTTCTTCCGCAATAGGGGTCGTTCGTGCGCGCTTTGAAGGGCGAGACGACAGTCGTGATATCGTAGAGGCAGGAGATGGAGTCCTTTGAGCGGATACGGCGGTCGTTGTTTCCCCTGAGGACGGGTCGACGAGCCTCGGTTTTGGTATGACATTCGGCGGTGGAAGCACAACGACCAAGTCAACGCAGTTTTCTTCGTTATCCACGTCTGTTCCTCCCCTCTTCCGTTTCCCGCGATGGTTCGATTTCGGGCCTTTGGACATTCTCTCTCCCTGTCGCAGGGGTGTTTTCGACCTTGATGACGTCCTTTTGTGGATCGGCTTGGCAAGTGTCTGTGATGCCTTGCTTGTCGTGTGTGGCCGCAGGGTACGCTGCGACGTACTGAGAGGTATTGACGAGGTAGTAGCCGATAGCGCTTCCAGTGCCGCGGATGTAAGGCGCGTTGGAGTGTGGCTGGATTCACGGGCCGATCGTCTCTCTGGTCGAGGTGTGATCTTCCTCGCCTCCTCTGGGGATGCCGGGGGCGATGTTAGAGGAGAAGTCATTCTCGGTGGTGGTATCACAGACTCAGGTTCAGGTGAAGGCGCACGCGGTGTCCCTTTCTTCTCCAGCCGTGTTGGTGATCTCAACCGCCCAGTCCTGCCGCTCTCCGATCCACTCGATACTGTCAGATCGATGCTCTCGCCAGGACGCAGTACTCGGATCGGTGATGGTCGTCCGCTGCTGTCACTCAGGCATATGACAGAACGTGCACTCCCACTGGAGAGGGATATGACCGTGTGCGTTGGGGAGGTGGGTGGGGCGTCATTGTTGTTCTTCTGTGCAGCGACGCGCGTTAGAGGGCGTTTCGGGGATTTTGCACGAGCCATCGATGGCCCTGCTTGTGCCCTGTGTATGGACGGTGTTGGCGGAGGTTCGGGTTTGACGCGCTGGCTAAGGGAGGACTGGGATGATGGTGGTTGAGTCTTGGGTCGGGATGAGAAGAAGTCCTCGATGACCCTAATAGCCTTGATGCTGTTCTCTATAGGCATTGTGTGGGAAGAGACGACGGGAAAGTGGTAAAAGACGGCGAGGGGAATGCTTCTGAAGAGACGCGATGACTACATATAAACACAGATACTTCCGACGACGCGAATATTTCATTGATCTCAGTCCCTGATCTCCGTCTTAATTCTTTGTCCCAGTCATTATTATTATTTGAACACTCCCAGGTCCACTTATTCTACAGCTGCAGTCTACTCAGACCGCTTGTAAGGCGCTCCTTGTGGACTATCCCACGTAAAGAACTCTCCACTCAGCTCATGCGCACCGTTAATAGCAAGATTCGCCAGCACCTATCCACCCCAAAAAAGGCACATTCAGTAAATTTCCAACAACTTCCCAGGCAGCCCAAGGAGACGGATCCGCATAACAAAGTACTCACGTAACCGCAGTCCTTCGGGTTGATCATGTTCTTCTTTGCGTCGACGAAGAACTGATGATCATCCGGCTTCATCGCGCTGGCTCCCATTTTACCTCTGATACGCTCTACCATCTGCGTAGAATATTAGCATCCATTGGTCATACCACTCCTGCCCGCTCTGCTCACCCCAGTGTCAGCCATCCCAGGGCAGACGGCGATGGAAGTGATATCAGGTTCCTCAGTAGCGAACGTCCTACCCCATCTCTCTCAGAACCCTTCACACCCGCACGGCACGCTCAAACACCCACCTAGCAATCGCGTTCTCAGCCGCCTTACTAGCGTTATAGCTCGCCCACGCGCCCCGCCTCTTCGTCGCCGCGCTCGAGCTGGTGAACACCACCCGTCCCTTGTTCTCCCTCAGCGCGGGCACGGCCGGGATGAGCGTGTTCAGCAGAGCGAGCACGTTGACGTTGAACACTTTTGACCAGTGGGCGGGGGTGGACGAGGCGATGGGCACGAGCTCGCACACGCCGGCGTTGAGCATCAGCGCTGTAGGCGAAGGCTCAAGCTTGAGCGCTTCGAGTGACGTCTCAGGCTTGGTGCTGCCCCCTGCACATTAGAATTACTCGACACGGAAAGATAGGAACGTACATATCCCCATGCACGATCTGCAACGACTCCGGGTGCTTCTCCTTCAGCGCTTTCAGAGCATCGCTCACATTGATATCGATCGCAACCACCTTGGCGCCAAACTCTTCCAGGAGAATCGTACAAATCGCGAGGCCGATACCGCTGTCAGGCACCCGATCAACTTTATTTCTCCTCGATATAGAATTTAGAGGTGACATACCCACCCGCACCGGTGAGGATAACCCTTGCCTGTCCTGCCATTAACTCAAGCTGTCAAAAGTTCGAATATCAAGCAGTCGAAGGTAACGTTCACTTGTAAGAAGACAAGTTCTCCTCAAAGCATCTTGCCCGTTCATAGGCGCTCGGCCACTAATGTTCCAGATTATGAATCCCCCCTCCCCCTCTCCCTGCTAATCGTCCCTGCTCAAAGCCGCCAGGAAATGAAATGTATTGAATTGCCGGTTGATGTCCTCAGACGCATCCTGGATGGCGTATCGGCCGGTTCGGCCGGTTCGCACGAGGAGCCGAACCAAGGAATCCTGGGCGGCACGCGGCCACGGTGGCCGCTTTGGCCGGCGGCTGTGCACGGAAATAAAATGTGTAGCTTCCGTTTGGATCCTCTGCGGAAAACATTTGCTTCCGTTTGCTTCCGTTGAAATCTTTCAGGATCTGTGTGCAACTTTGCATCCGTTTGCCCGGTTCCACCCAGTTTTTTCCCGGTTTTCTGCACAGTTTGTACCGTTTGTCTGTTTTCAGTATGGTTTTTTTTTTTTCATTCTTCCCCTTTCCTGTCCTGAGTATTGACAATATGAGTAAGTTACGGTGCATCTTAAGCTCAATTTTTTTTAAAAACACAATTTTTGCAAAACCGGAAAAATTGGAAGACCCGGTTCTTTTTGTTAAGAAAAACCGGAAGAGCCGGTTCTGTTTTTTTAGAACTGCTAAGTCCAAACCGGATAAACGAGGCAAAGTGGAGCAAAACGAGATTAAACGGAATTATCTTCTTTGATGGAAGCTACTGGAGGCAATAGTATACGTCCGTGCACAGCCGCCGGCCAAAACGGCCACCGTGGCCGCTTGCCGCCCAGGATTCGTACACTCTCAACCAAGTGATCGGGTGATCGACACTTTAATTAAGAAGCACAGCCACGTACTCGAATTGGTTGTTCTCTCTGCGTCTTTCTGAGGAGTACATGAACAGAGATGAGCTCAACGACATCCCTCTACCGCTCGATCCTATGTGAACTGCGCAAATCCGTATGCTCCTTTTATGTTCAACCTACTGCCTGAGCTCACCTCCTCTCAGGCAGTGTCTCCCCGACCAGAACGATCCCGAGCGATCATCACCCACCTCCGGGAAGCACTCACCAATCCCCGAATCTCCCAAGCCCAGCGGCAACAAGATGCTCTCAACGCGCTCACCTTCCTTCACAGCCAGAGGTCCTACGAGGTACGTCGTCCGTTTTCCCCTGTTGATAACGGGCGAATGCTGAGCGACTTGGTTTGGCAGGAATTGCTCGTCAGGTATAACCCGCTGCATGATATGACCCCGGAGGAGAGGGTGAAGGCTACGGCTAGGAGGGTGGGGTTGGATGTCCCTGTTGAAGCTGAGGAGGATAGTCTGAAGAATTCATGATATCTCCCTGCTGCGTCTCTGGACCTGATCGGCCAGCACGCATGCCAAGTGCAGCTCAACACGGCTCGCAAGGCTGACGAACATCGCCTGCACTGTATCTCTAACCAC